TCTTTTTTTCTCAACACTTTTTTTGTTGTTGTTGTTTTATTTTACTTTTTTATTAAAAAATACATGCATTGTTGGTTAAGGGCTGTAAGTAAGCATTTCACGGTAATGTCTACACCTGTTGTAATCGGCGCATATGGCAAATACAATTTGATTTGATTTGATTTGATTTGACACAAAGAGTTGGTCGCTCTCATGCAAAGCTCTCTTTTTATCCAAGTATATGCGCAATGCGTAGAAAGGAAAGGCGGTGGGTAGAAAGCCACAAGCTCCATTGCAAGACAATTGTAATTGCCACTGACCTTAGACATAAAGGCAGGGTTGGGCAACAAGATAACCTTGGAAAAGGCCTAGGCAAACTGCATGAATGGTTTATTGTTCATACAGGTCACGCAATCCCTGAAAAATAGGCTAAGGAACCTAGATAGGTAATTGGTTGGATAGATGTCACCAGGGGTACTCTGCTCTGGTCAGAGAGCAAGCAGAAGACAGAGACCATGCCAAAGTTCACATATTTGTTGTTGGACATGGTGGTTGGACATGGTAAAGTTGGATTTGTGTGTGGTTCTGCAACAAAGGAGATTCATTGTAAGCAGGTTGCATAACATAAAAGGTGATAATAATTACTCTATTAATCCAATAATAAAATAAGGACATGACATCTTAGGGTTATGACTTAACAATAATATACATTGAAAATAGGACACAAACTTACGCTTAACTTGGAAGCACACAACTGGAAAGAAACCGGCGCGGGTTGGCCCCTTGGATGGGCGTGGATTGGCCCCTTGGATTGGCACGGGTTGACCCCTCAGATGGGCGCGTGGTCATGTTGAAAACCTGTGACATGGATTAGCCAAGGCCCAGGGGGTCAGGAAAGGTGGACACTCCTTGCGGAACAGCATGGTGTGGCTTCAAGGCGGGAGCGGAAGGAGATACCACGGCAACAGCGTCGCTGAAGATCCATTTGAGAAGCATGTGACAACTCCAAGGCAACAGCCAGCTAAGGCTTCGTGTCCAGTAAGGTTGGGAGTTAGGCAAGGGTCTTGGCTGGGCCACAGTGATGACATTACAGGTTCAGTAGATAAAGTATATTGGATATACAGGTTCAGTAGATGTATGGGTAGCCCGGGGGAAGGGGTGTAGTGTTGCCACAATGTGATCAGTAGATGGAGTGTTAACTGACTGGCATACCTGTAAATATGTATGTCCAATATTGAAAGGGAGTGACCCGGCTCCACATATTTGACTTGTTTGTGACTCACTGACACCGCTCCTGGTTAGAGAGGAATAAAACAGCCCAAGAGTTAACACACACAGGGAACTTTATTCACACACAGGAGAAGATGAACATAGGGATGTACATGAAAAGTGGGAAAGGTAGTGGAATGGTAGTGTTTTCTGGACACGCACACCATCCCACAAGTCCAGAGATATGAGTGCTCTCTGCCACTGCTTGAGGGACACTGCAAGTATTGTGTGACCTGTATAGTCAAGTGGATGGGCAGATGTCCGGGCCCCTAGTAACATCCCTAGCAACCTCAGGCATGCTGGGAGGGCCTCCATGTCCAGGGCCGGGGAGGAGAGCAGGCCCAGTGGCGGTGGCGGCTCCCCGAATCAAATGAAATGTTATTGGTCGCATACACATATTTATCAGATGTTATTGCGGGTGTAGCAAAATGCTTGTGTTCCTAGCTCCAACAGGCCCCAGCAGCGGAAAGCAGGTGTGGCGGTAGTTCCCCCACAGAAGCAGGAAACAGAGGACGGACCCAGGGCAAGCCCCGGAGCAGGCCCCAACAGTAGACTCAGGGTCAGGGCCAGATCAGGAGGCAGTGCTGGTGAGTCCTGGGCCCCTTGTTGGATCAGCTCGGACCCCAGGAGCAGGAATAGGTAGTGCCCCTGGGGCTGGACACTGGGGGGCGAAGTCTGGGTGGTCGGCCCCGGTGAGGTCTGGTGTGTCCTCCACAGTCACGTCAGAGTTTGAGTCCAGCGGCAGCAGGACCAGGATTGGAGCTGGGTCAGGTGGTGCACGCTGGGCAGGGGCATCCTGGACACCCCAAACGGGATCAAGGGCTGTGGCTGGGTCAGGTGAAGTGGCGGTGTCAGTAGCTGGTGACAGTGGGGTGGCTGGGTCCCTCCATGGGCCCAGGTCAGGGCTGGACCGGTCATCAGAGGTAGCAGCAGACAGGTCCGGTGCTGCTGGAGGGTTCCTTAGTGAAGGGACAGAGACAGGGCCTCTGCCTCTGGCAACAGCTCGCTGGGTAGCTTTGGCTGGTGAGGAATATGGTCCAGTCAGCAACAAGGCTCACTACCGTGTGGCAATGTTCCTGGAATCGCATAGGTCGCCCAAGCTGGGGAGAGGGTTCCCCCCTGTACTCCATATGGCGTATGCAGCGATGTCCACGGCGCTGCAACTCCCTGGTACTCCAATGTAGAAGAATAATCCACACGCTGGGTTGTTGGGGATGCGGCCACACCTGGTGTTGAGTAGTATCCCACAGGTGGAGGAGAGGGTCCATAGGGTCCATGCTGCACCGTCAGCAGGCGTGGGGCTCCCATAGGCTCCAGAGAGGGGGTATAATCCACATAGTAGTAGTTCACTGGATACCCCGGAGCCATACTCCACTGGAGAGACAGACATATTGCTCTCTGCCACTGCTTGAGGGAGACTGCAAGTATTGTGTGACCTGTATAGTCAAGAGGATGGGCAGATGTCCGGCCCCCTAGTAACATCCCTAGCAACCTATCAGGGCACAGGTCACACAGGTCAGGGAGAGTTTCAGAGGCAGGTTTATGGTACCCCCTAGATTCTCAGGCTCCGGTTGTGGGGGATCTGGAGTGTGCAGCTCAGGGTTGTGAGGTGCTGATAACAGTCACAGGCAGGGATTTTGTAACAAATATTTAAAAAACTATTGGATTTAAGCAGATAACCATAGACTTCCAGTCATTGCGCAAACACTAGTTAGCATTGGCTCACGAAACTACCTCTAACTTCCTTTATACTGGACACAGAGACATAACAATTGTATTCTCGAGTTCATCTGACTCTGGGGAAGTACATTGCCAAAATCCCGAAGTATAATTTTAAACTGATTGGTCACTCTTTAAGGGCCGCAAAATGAGCAGCAACACTCCTCTGGGTGTAAACTCTGTGGATTTGGAAGCTAAAAGTGCTCATGAGTGGAATGGACCCCTTTTACTGTGACACAATGTACAGAAAATTGTGTATGGTGCAATAAATGATAGGAGTACGCACACAAAAAACTGTTGACCATTTAGGCTTGAAAAAACAAAAACAAAAACACATATCTCATATAAATACTTGTAATTATTATTTATATGATAACTGGTATAAAATATATAGATAATTGAGCACAATTATTAAATTGTGGCGAATTATTCATTTACAAAGAATACAGGACAGACTTTTATTCTGAAGGATTCCAAAAATCCGGGACCCGAAAGTACTTAGTTATTCTTGCCTGCTTTACATCGGTTTACAGAGTCAGAGCATTTGTTCCAAGACCAATGCAGTTTGATCACTGTAAAGCTTTTGGACATGTTTCAAGTGTTTGCAGAAGGGAGAAGCCGAGATGCACTAACTGTAAGTCGCTCTGGATAAGAGCGTCTGCTAAATGACGTAAATGTAAATGTAATGTCCAAGTTGTGGAAAATATTATATAATGTGTTTTAAAAGTGATGAAAATGTGATATGTTGCAATTGTGGTCGGAACCATGATGCCAAGTCTTTGGAATGCCCAACAAGGGTGAAAGAGAATGAGGTGGCCAAAGTCAGGGCTCTCCAGAGCGGCTGTTAAAAGGGTTGAGGGTTCGATTGGTGGTCCTGAAGAGTCCATGCTGAGGAGTTGCATGGAGTATTGTCACAAGCCGTAACACCCTCTTAGGTCATAGAGCCTGAGAAGGGAAATATGGAGATTTGAAGGAAGGAAGAAGTGGGAGTTTTGTGGTTTTGGTTTTGTCAATGTGTTTTTTTATTGTTTTATTTGGGTAGTTAAGTTCGTTTTCCCTATCACGTATGGGTTTTATTTTGACCATGTTTTTTTCCACCCCGTCCAGTTGGTGGCGGTAATACACATGTTTGTGTTGTAGTCTGCCATAAAACCCACAGAAAAATAAGAAGAAGAAGAACCAGCAGCGGAGTGGGCGCAGTAGTCAGTTTGCTGGTAAACTGTTAAAGTTGTGGTTTTGACTAAATATATTCTCATACGGAGTTTTTATACTATCTTGTGGACTGTCAATTCTACATTTTCAGTAAAAGAAGGTAATTGAATGTCATCTCATTCGTTTAGCCCACCGCTGGCTTCTTGCTTGGTAACTAGCTAGTAGCTAACGTTAGCATAATATTCGTAGTTGAGCTGTCTACAGTTTGTTGGCAGGATACTAGCTAACTTAGCTGTGAAATGTCGTTTCAGTCAACTCTTACGACTTAACAACAACAACGAGCAAATCAAAGCATTGGTATTGAACATAATTAAAGATAACTAGGGCAGGGAATTGTAAGGGACCTCACGATAAGATATTATCACGATACTTAGGTGCCGATACGATATGTATTGCGATTCTATAGTTAGATATTTATTGCAATTAGATGCTGCGATTTTATTGCGATTCGATGTTCCAAATATTGCTCACCATATGTCTGCTGCAGAGGGACGAGAGAGCCATGAGAAAACGACTTTTGATCAGTCAGTGAATAAAACTGCTGAAAACAAATTGGCTCACTATTTAAAAAGAAGATGGAGAACAAGCTATGACGTAAATATACTGGAGTTTTGGTGCAGGTACAGCTGATTAGTGCAAAAATAATACTGCAATATATTGTAACAAAAAAAAAAATATCCAGAAATATGGTGACTGTATCGATTCCCCCCCCATCACTACAGCTAATACGGAGGTGGCTAGCTAGCTAGGTCACAGTGAATTTGCTAGTGGATAACATACATTTTTCGAAAAACTCAAATTGATTTGTGTGTCTCACACAGATGGAAGGAGATGAGTGTGGGGGGTTTCCTCCAGAACCATCGGAGGGTAACTCACAGAGGGGAAGTGTGGCCTCTGTCACCCGCGGTCAGTTCCCTTTTTTCTTTCAGTCTGGTGTTTACAATAGAATATTATTTCGTCCCTCTGTGTGTTTACTATTTGGAAGATGCTGTTTAATAGCCTTGTGTATATACCAAACTGATTCATGTAAGCTAATGAGATCATCGTGGCTTGCAAGGCTAGGTGTTTCATGTTTTACATTAGATTATTATGTCAATTTCCCTCCCTGTGTTTTTTCTCCTACAGCTCAAGATGTGCTTGTGTACCTGGTGGGTGACAGTGCGGTACACCTGTGTGTGGAGGGGGTTGGCAGTGTGAGTGTCCAGGAGCTAGGCCGCAGTGTCCGAGAGGCTCTCCACATTCCTGATTCTGCAATGGATGTCTTTGCATTTTGGCTCTGTTCTCCTCTGCTTGGTAATGACGACTCCCTTTGTATGCACTTCCCTTCCTCTTCCTCCTCCCCTAGCCCTCAAACAACTGTGCTGCACATGCTGTTATTTTAATATAAGCAACTTGACCATTCATTTGACAGTTTCATGATTTGATAAGGGGGAGGAGGGCAGATAGGTATTACAAAGGAATAGTGTTGTCTGAGGCTGGTCTGGTTCATTGTATCATGTATTGGTGGAGATTGAAGCGAGCCCTTGGGCCATAAGAGGGACATTTGACCATTTTGAATGCTTCTCTTTTGAACTACTGTCTTGCTGAAAGACTGGCATTGTTTGTAAAATAGGCAAGGGATTACTACAGCAAAATGAGTGTAGGGCAAGTCTACAGCTTGTCTTGCCAAATTCCTTTCTTTGTTATACATTTTACATTTTAGCAGACGCTCTTATCCAGAGCGACTTACAGTTAGTGACTGCATACATTTTCATACCATGACAATGTGTTTCATCATCCTTTTCGTTAATAATCACATCGTTGTCTACTCCCTGCCTTATCATCCTCTCTCAGATCTGCAGTTAAAGCCGAAGCATCAGCCTTACAAACTGTGCCGCCAGTGGCAGGACCTGCTGTATCGCTTCACTAAGGCCTCAGAGGAGGACATATCTCAAGGTGAGACTGCCTGTGTCTCTGTGTGTAGGGATGAGCTTGTGTGTTTCAGTAATCTTTTGTATTTGTTTCTGTATTTTTGGCAGATGAACATTTTTGTCTCACATCTCAGTTCTCTTTTTTCAAATGTTAGATTTTTTTCATCCCCACTGCTGAATTCATATTGCTTTGTCAACCTGACCTCATGTTACCTCTGACCCAACATCACTAATCCTAAACTGTACATCTGCCATCATGTAAAAATGCTCTGTAATACCCTCCTCATGCTGTACTTTCCTTTTTTTCCAGATGAGCCATGCTTGCAGTACAGAAGGAATGTGTTTTATCCCAAGTCTAAAGAGCTGCAGGTACTGCTGTTCTGTTTTCTCCTTAAACTTAACATGACCATGAAGCTGTTGGAAAACATTTTCCTTAAAAATATCAGTAAGGTTGTATTGTAGTGTCAAATGGATAGATCATACTTTCCTGGTTGTAGACACATACACCAGAGCACTCTAGCACCAGTCCTCAGACAAAAGGTTATGTTTGTCCCTCAAGAGTTACAAGAATTGATGATGAACGCCCCTGTCTGTGTTTGGATTGTCGTGGAAAATGATCACTATACATATAAAAAATCAAAGTTCTTCCAGAGTTTTTGTAGAATCAAGATATACTTTATTACATAGAGCAACAAAAGCCGAGCTGGTCTGCAGAGCAACTAACTCACAACACTCGGCCCTCAGTTTATATACAATGTCCATTCCTGCTCATTTTACATACTTCTTAGCTTAAACCCTCCCAGCTGAGTTCCTCCACCATTGTTTCCAAACCTTCATCTTTTGACCGCTCCGCCCACTCTCTTAATTTATGATAGTGGCAAAATCTGACTTCTCCTCCTATATTTATTTAGTTGTGATACAATGGTGGCTAAACCAAACTTTCTCATGTAAAAAATAACAGAGCCATCTCCCAGCTCTGCTCTGTTTATTCCAAAACCCATCAATCGATACTTGAATATGGTTTAAACATAGCAGATCCATAACCCATTCTCAACCATATACATTTAAGACTTTCCTAATGCATTGCCTCATACATAACAGTATAATCATCTCCTGACTCTGGCTCAGACTCCCTCCTTCTGTACCACTGCTTGTCTTTATAATTAGCTATATTTTAATCTTTATAGTCTAGAAAGATTTACTATTTTTAACCTATGGTCTGACCTTGGGTACCACTCGGTACCATAGCTCTGAATGGTCTACTGAAAAAATACCCAACACATCCTCCCTTTGGGACTAACTAGGTCCCACACTTCAAATAGATTTATACTAACACTTGAAATGTATATAGTGACTAAGATATGAATACTTAGATATATAGGAACTAACATAAAAATACTAATTCATGAAAATATATTTTTAAAACATTACTTATTCAAACAATAACAATATAAATGTTTCTACTTTGAAATAAACAACGTAAGTGTTAGTATCGTAACATCTACAATAATGCAGCTTTGTTTTAACCATAATATCTATTTAAGGCAGTTATCTTGCGGTTTGTATAAGCAATACATGAAATACTAAATCCCTTTTAATATTATTCTTCATAATATCATCCCTTATGTTTTACATGGCCTAGTAATGCTTGCTCTCCCTTTCGGACACCTCCCTAACAACCATTTTCTGAATCTAAGCAGAACCTGTGTAGGGGATTAAGAGACATGTTCATGGACATTTGTAACCGGAAACCCTATGTTACGTGCCTATACTACATAGAGAAAACATGAGAGAGGCCTATTCTATCTTTTGAGGATTTTAGGTTTACCCCTATATGGGACCCCTAGTTCCAATACCAAAATCTATTTAAATGTTACCTCACCTACTTCCCTTAATTAATGCTTAGGCTCTTTATCACCACTAAAGTAATATGGAACAGGATATAAGTCTGGGAGATTAATATCTCCAAGTCCAGTGTGCTTCAGCTGTTGCTTGGCCCATCCTCCTCCTGCCACTACCCCAGACAGACATGCTCTCTTACGATAATTACCATCTGCTTCTGGGCCTCTACTCCGGGCCGGCGTTGGTCCCTTTCGCTCAGGACTCCCTCTACGATGACCATCTACTTCTGGGCCACTACTCCGGGCCGGCGTTGGGTCCCTTTGGCTTGGGACCTTCTTCCGTCACTAGGGTCTCGGCATCCTCAGCTTCCTCATCTCTCGGTCATCGGTTTCCATGCGGTACTCTGGTGCAGTGGTTTAGATAATACCAGGTCGAGCTCCCCTCAACCCTTACAGCAGTTGGTGTAACCTGGATGAAGGGGTAGGGTACCACATGTCTCTGTTCGTTCTACTTCCTTCTGAAGACCCTGACGTAGACCTTCTCCCCCGGGACCACTGGTCGTGGTGGAGTCGCCTCTGGTTTTAGAACTCTGCTTCTCTCCTGTTGGTATATAACTTCATATGACAGTTAGTTGCCTGATATACCCTTCTAATTCCCTTTCCATTTGCTCTAGAGGCAGACCCTCAAATGGTCCCCTAAGCACCGGCACTGGTATGGGTCGACCCCGTTAGCATTTCATGCGGTGTTAGATGCGTTATTCTGTTAGCTTGCATGCGATAAGTCATTAGTGCCAGAGGTAAGTCCCCCCAAAAACAAAACAACACTGTCTGTTAAATCAAAATAACAAATCTAATTAGAATGATAACCCTTGATAACACCTTAACTTAATTGTATCCCATAAGTTAATTCAAGGAATAGTAAAATTGATTAGCGACAGGTGTCCCTCATTCAGGGCTAGTTCTCTTTCTCTGTCCTTGTCATGGTATGAATCATACATAGGCCCATTGCTAAATTATAAACGTCTTCCTATTTATTAGTGTTTACATACTACATATAAATCTCACACAATGTCTCTAGCTTTCGAGTGAGGGTGATCAGGCCTCACCAGAAAGTCAGAACAGAGGTCAGAGGTCATTCAACACCATTTAAGTGAGTGTCTCTTTCCCTTTACTTCCCCTTTACCTCAGATAGTATTTAATGATATTTCAAACATTTTGTGTACCAGGTTTACATTGGGTTTTTTCAGTACATTTCTTATTAGGAGAATTTAGATGTGTGTAATTAAAACTCTGGCAATAGAAACTTCAAAACATTGAATTTATGTGCACTTTAAGGTGTATTATTTCTAACCTGTGAAAAATCCACTAAACCAAAAATAAAAACCCTACACAACTACCAAATATTCATAATAGGTGGGTTGTGTGTGCTGGTGTGTGTGGTAAAACGTAGAGCAAAAACAAACAAATGGCCAGGCCTTATTTAATTCGGTAGCTCCCTCTTACGGCCTACTTATAAGATTGCTGAGTTTTACTAACTGCTCTCCTCAGCTCACAGACTCAGGAAACATTCCAAAGAGAGATAATGAAACTCCCATTTTCCTGGAAAAGAAAGTGTACATTTCGTTAACATTCACTATAGTACATGTTAATAAGCCATCCAAACGTTTTAACTACAACCAAAATATGAAGATAATTCCACCGTACTACATCAAATTATGAATTGTTTGTTTCAATATAATTCCATGTGTAGATAAATTGCTGTCCTTTGTAAGTAAACGCAAACAAGTGTCTACTTTTCTATGCTAGAGGTACACTAAAATATGCTCCACATAAGTCTATTACTGAGAACCATTTTGCATCTGGTGGAATGTTTGTTAACAGTGTGTGGGGATTGGGTACCTCTGCTTGGTAGTCTTGAACTACCTCATTCACTGCTCTCAGGTCATGAACCAGTCTCCACTTCTGTTTGTCTGCCTTTAGTACTGGTAGCAGTGGCATGTTACAGTCACTCTGAGTTTTAACCAGTACTCCTGCTTTTATCAGTCCCTCTATTGTAGCTTGAATTCCTGCCTCTGCTTTCGGTGTCATTGGGTATTGCTGTTTCCATGGGGGTCTTGTGTCTGCCTTTACTTTAATGCAAATTGGATTAGCTGAATTTACTAAACCCACATCTGTATCATATTTTGCCCATAAGTCTTCTGTGATCATACTTTCCATTTGTTTCCTTAGCTTTTCCTGTTTTGTTTCTTCTTTAACTACTGGCATCTGTCTTTCCTCAGTTATTTCCACTTCCTGTGGTTCCCCCATCAGTTCTGCAAAGCATAGGACTTCAATTAGGTTTTTGTCAACAGACTGGAAAATGAATGGATTCTCTGTTTCTACCCACTGTGTATTTTTAGCCTTTTTCATCATTGGTTCTAGATCTTTTGCCTGATATCCCTCGGCCACTAAAAGTGTTATGAGGTTCTGTTCCTCGTATATCAAACCAGGTCTGTATGATATCAGATCCTGGAGCATCTTGTGCTTCCATTGCTGACCCTTGTTTCCCTATTACAAAATATTGCGATCTCATGGAAACCAGTTTACCCCATGCCTTGCTTAACCATAGTTGTTCTAGCAAATGATTTTGATATGGATCATATTGCAGTGTACAATGATAGCCTAATTTTGGTACTCTCATTTCTTGAACTTGAGCCCTGATACATTTTCCCTACTTCTTTAATACCTCTTGTATTGGTGATTCTATATTCCCTATTCCAGTATTCCCTATCCAGCCATCATCATCTGTGGACGTACACCTTCCTGATCTATTATTAGTCCCTCTGATGTGCATTTCATTTGGATGCCCATTCTACACAGTGCATCTCTCCCTAATATATTAACTGGAGTTTGTTCTGATACTAATATAGGTATACAGGTAGCTTTTCCTCCTGCTTCTAGTTTTACTGGAACTGTCATAGGTATTAGCTGTGTTTGTCCTGAAAATCCTACTGTCTTTGCATATTTGCCTGACATGGGGAGGTGAGAGGCATAATTTGGACTTACACATGAGTAAGTTGCTCCAGTATCCATCATCATGGGTGTGCCTCTATTATTCCCCTGAACCTGCAGCATAGGTTCTTCATCAGCCTGCATAGTTACTGCCACTAGCTGACCATCCCCTCTAGGATTCTCTGGGCATCTCTAGTATCCCTGATTTGGTCCTCCCAACGGGTTCACTGGGCCCTGTGCATCTGAGCTGGTGTCATTTCTTTACCAACTACCCTGCTGTGGTTGCTTAGGCAACCATGGGTTGGTAGGACAATTCCTTCTTAGATGTCCTGATTGATGACACCCCCAGCAGACACCTAATGGTCATTCTGGTCCACCATTTTGGTATGTCTGCTGTTGTGATCGGTACCCTGGATTCTTTGGTCTGTTTCCATTTCCTTTGTTTTGCCACTGTCCAGGGGATTGTTGTGTGTACACATTCACTACTGGTAAGGAAGGAGCTCTTTGGCCTTGTGGATGAGGCTGTAGTTGTGGACCTCCTTGGAGAACAGGTGCCATGGCACCCTCTTCTGGCGGTGTCGGAGTAATCACTGGAGCTTGTGTTTTCTTTTTGTCCTTTCTTGTCAGCTCTTCCAGCTGCATCTGTGTCAGTTTTCTTTGAATGTCTCTCCCTTGATCTGTCAGTTTCTGTTCGTCCTTCCTGTATTTTTCCACTGTGTGGATAACATGGTCGCAGAACTCCTTGTGTGATTTTGACGTTAGTCCCACCACATCTTCCAGTCTGCTTCTGACAGGCGTTGGCATTGCCTCCATCAGTGATGTCCTGAATAGTGTTGTCACCAGTGGATCCCCCTCTAGGTATTTTTCTGTTTCTTGTCGCCACCTCTTGAGCTGATCCTCTAGGTAGCTTGCAGGGTTTTCTTTATCCCTCAATAGTTCCCCTCTCAGTGCTTTAGGGTCTATTTTGGCTTGATATTCCATTCTCAGTGTTCCATAGTCCTGGCCTATAATTGTCAAAGGCCATTCCATCCAGTACCGTCCTGCACACCGCCTGTATGAGGCCACCCGCCTGCAACAGGTCCTCCATTTTGGCCACTCCCACCACCCTGGTCAGCAATGCCTTCAAATCTCCCACCGCCAGTAGCTTCCCCATTGTTTGTTCTTCAAATGTTCTAATCCATTTTCCTGCTCCTTCATGTATGTTTGGCAGTCTAGTCACCAGGCCTTCCATGTCCTGTGATCCCCAAGGCACATAGTGAACCTGTGTCCCCTTTACCAAAATGGGATACTGGGCTCCATACTTGTCTGGGCTTGCAGTGCTTCACCTAGTTTTGTTACTATAGATTTGCCTCCTGTGGCTCCTTGCTGTGATAATTGTCCCTCTGTCTCACTCTGTTCTTGCTCAGAGTCAGTACACTGTTTTAGTTCCTCATCCTCCTCATTACTTGCATCATCCCACTCGCTCTGTCCATCAACATCTTGTTCATTTGTCCCATAATTTTCCAGTTTGTTTAACATACCCTTCAGTCCCTCATAACAGTCTATATCTAAGTGTGATCCTCGTTCCCCTTTTTGGGGTGGAAGCCTGCTGCTTACCTTTTTCTTCTTCTATCGCCACATTCCCTGTTATTGAGACTAGTCCTGTGAGGTGAGGATACTGCCCCCCTTGTGTGTATGGTGGTGGTGCAGTTGAGCCATCCTTTTTGGGTTCTTTCTCCTCCATTATTATCCTTCTAGCTTTGGCAATGCTCTCTCTCCAGCTATTTCCTTCCTCCCAGAACCTTTTTTTAAATCTCTCTCTCTTTCTCTCTCTTCTTCTTTCTTTTTTATGGTATCCATTTCCTCACACACTGTCACATCAAACGTCCCTTCCTTTGGCCATTTTGTTGCTAGTTTTCTAGTTCTTATTTCCCATTTATCAGATATTTTTCCAATCTCTTCTTTATTCTCTGGGAACCTTTTCTTCATGATTTCTACTGGTGTTCCTGCCATCTCTATTCCCTGTATTCTTGGTCTCCCTGACGCTAGCCTTATGTTTGGTTCAGTGTCTATATTAGGGTGTAAAGTCAATATTTTCCTTACTGTTTTTCTCGTGCCTAATTGTTCCCTTATTATTGTTGCTCGTTTTGGAATAACCCACTGAACTTCTCTCAATACTGTAGATACTTCTATTTGTGGTTCCCTTATTGTCTTACCTGTCTGCCCTTTCCCTCTTTCAAAACCTTGCTCCTCCCCTAATGCCAGCCAAGGTTCAACCTGTTTATCTATTGGGATTATTATAAAATAAACCTCTTTTGATCTGCTAATTCTTCAAGAGTTTCTCCAATATTCTGTACTGTCCTATTTCTTCCTATTATTCCAGTCCAATATATATAGTTGAAGTCTGAAGTTTACATACACTTAGGTTGGAGTCATTAAAACTCGTTTTTCCACCACTCCACAAATGTCTTGTTAACAAACTATAGTTTTGGCAAGTCGGTTAGGACATCTACTTTGTGAATGACACAAGTCATTTTTCCAACAATTGTTTACAGACAGATTATTTCACTTATAATTCACTGTATCACAATTCCAATGGGTCAGGAGTTTACATACACTAAGTTGACTGTGCCTTTTAAACAGCTTGGAAAATTCCAGAAAATGATGTCATGGCTTTAGAAGCTTCTGATAGGCTAATTGACATCATTTGAGTCAATTGGAGGTGTACCTGTGGATGTATTTCAAGGCCTACCTTCAAACTCAGTGCCTCTTTGCTTGACATCATGGGAAAATCAAAAGAAATCAGCCAAGACCTCAGAAAAAGAATTGTAGACCTCCACAAGTCTGGTTCATCCTTGGGAGCAATTTCCAAATGCCTGAAGCTACCACGTTCATCTGTACAAACAATAGTACGCAAGTATAAACACCATGGGACCACACAGCCATCATACCGCTCAGGAAGGAGACACGTTCTGTATCCTAGAGATGAACGTACTTTGGTGCGAAAAGTGCAAATGAATCCCAGAACAACAGCAAAGGACCTTGTGAAGATGCTGGAGGAAACAGGTACAAAAGTATATATCCACAGTAAAACGAGTCCTATAACGACATAACCTGAAAGGCCGCTCAGCAAGGAAGAAGCCACTGCTCCAAAACCGCCATAAAAAAGCCAGACTACGGTTTGCAACTGCACATGGGACAAAGATCGTACTTTTTGGAGAAATGTCCTCTGGTCTGATGAAACAAAAATAGAACTGTTTGGCCATAATGACCATCGTTATGTTTGGATGAAAAAGGGGGTGGCATGCAAGCCGAAGAACACCATCCCAACCGTGAAGCATGGGGGTGGCAGTGTCATGCTGTGGGGGTGCTTTGCTGCAGGAGGGACTGGTGCACTTCACAAAATAGATGGCATCATGAGGAGAGGAAAGAAAATTATGTGGATATATTGAAGCAACATCTCAAGACATCAGTCAGGAAGTTAAAGCTTGGTTGCAAATGGTTCTTCCAAATGGACAATGACCCCAAGCATACTTCACAAGTTGTGGCAAAATGGCTTAAGGACAACAAAGTCAAGGTATTGAAGTGGCCATCACAAAGCCCTGACCTCAATCCTATAGAAAATGTGTGGGCAGAACTGAAAAAGCGTGTGCGAGCAAGGAGGCCTACAAACCTGACTCAGTTACACCAGCTCTGTCAGGAGGAATGGGCCAAAATTCACCCAACTTATTGTGGGAAGCTTGTGGAAGGCTACCTGAAACATTTGACCCGAGTTAAACAATTTAAAGGCAATGCTACCAAATACTAATTGAGTGTATGTAAACTTCTGACCCACTGAGAATGTGATGAAAGAAATAAAAGCTGAAATAAATCATTCTCTCTACTATTATTCTGACATTTCACATTCTTAAAATAAAGTGGTGATCCTAACCTAAGACATGGAATATTTACTTGGATTAAATGTCAGGAATTGTGAAAAACTGAGTTTAAATGTATTTGGCTAAGGTGTATGTAAACTTCCGATTTCAACTGTATATGGCCACTCTTCTCTTACTTCCACTAAATTTGTTATTTCTGTTATTGCTCTCAGCTGAAATTTTTTATATTCCTCAGTTAATGGTATTCTTCTTCCTAATATATCTTCATACTCTGCTTCTTTCCCAAAATGAGATTTTATCCCTTGCGTTTCTTTTAATATTCTTCTTATCCTTTGTTCCCTTGTCTCATCTCCCATCCAGATAACACAATTACTCTCCTGTCCTTATGCGCTATATTCTTTTTATTTAGTTATTTTTAGCTTTCTCTTCTACTTCTTTATATCTGGACAGCTAGTCCCTATCCTAAATTTTCCTACCCAGATTTATATTATTATTATTATTATCCTGGTATCATTACTTGATCAATGACTATTTGGCATTAGATTGTGCCTTTTTCCGATAATGTTATAATTGTAGCCTATTGCATTAATTTAGTCCAAATAGACATTTGTTGTTTAACAAATCTAGAACCTACAAAAAGTTGGTGCTATCCCATCAGCGTAATAGTCAAAACTACCTGCAATCCACTGTTCCACGTAACGAAAACAAATTTATTGTTTTAGAATTCATTAACTATTTGCATACGTCACTGGTGTTACGCAAACTATAGAATTGAGTAATAACAATTCGAATTTGTCAAAGAATGTTTCCCATTCAACTATTCAGACCTCTGCTTCAAATGTCCCTTACAATACGACTCTCTTTCACCTGCGAACTAAAACATGGCATCATTAAAGTCTATTCACAAACCACCAATAACTAAAAACCTAGATTTTAGTCAGTAATGCAGAACCTATGCTTTATTAAAATGACAAGTAAATCCCCCTTTATTCCAGTTATAATGGTCTGTAGTCCTAACATCTGGCACATAACACAATTATCAGAAAATGGCTTTACAGGACAAAGATCTCACAAGCTCGAAGGGAATGAATTAGCAGTCAACGAGTCAAATCTACATTCATTGATTTGGAAACAGATCTAACGAGTTTAATCAAATGGATTGTTTTCCCCTACAATATACTAAAACTCCTTTACTATATCACCTCTGCTCCGAAATTATAGATGGTTATTATAATGCTTAATCTTATTTCTATCAAATGATCTATGTACTGTCTCCCACCCCTCACGTACGTCTACATTTTGGGTGTGCAAGTCAGTACCTATACATTATTCCACTTATTACTTTATCCAATCTCTAGTAATCAATTACACGCACATAAAATTCATCATATTTTAATATATTAAAATCAACCATACCATTCGTATTTCTAATGATTCTTTATTGCCACAAGTTAGTTTACCATAATCTAGTCCCAGCAGAACAACAACTTTAACTACCTAGACCCTGCCCCTCATTCATAAAATCCTCCCAGAATCTTATAGACTGGTCACTATTTACTGAACTAACATCTCAAAATATTATATGACAGGCAGTGTTGTACAAACCCCAAGATATCATTATATCAAAAGCTTATTATCCAAACTTCAGGTGCGACTCATTTTCCACATTTATACCATTCTCACATCACATTCACACAATGTTCTTCTCAAACACGCTTAACCACTACACGTGCTTAAATGAATCAGACAGAATGCCCAGCAGGACGAACAAATGAATCAGACGAATTGAACAAATACATCAGATGAACAACTGAGTGAATTCGACAGATTGAATGCACAAATTATAATAATAATATAATATGCCATTTAGCAGACGCTTTTATCCAAAGCGACTTACAGTCATGTGTGCATACACGTTTACGTATGGGTGGTCCCGGGGATCGAACCCACTACCCTGGCGTTACAAGCGCCATGCTCTACCAATTGAGTCAGACCAGTGGACAAAGATGAAAGAGCTGCTTTCGCAAACCCAAGCAAGTCCATCAAACAAGTCTTGTACAGAACGAGGCAGACAAAACGATCGAACCAAACAAATTGATCAAGCTGACCAAATGAGCAACCTGAATGAGACAGATGAAACATACAACTTAATCACAATTGAATGAATCACAGCCGCTCAAGCAAACCATTCACCCACAAGAGATGAGCAGACCTACTCTATTTAACACTTTCTCTATATTTTGAAGCCCTGGTGGCTATTTCACAACCGTTCACCTACTCTGGATGACCAGCGCTACTTCCAATTTATGGTGTCACCTACTAAGGATGACCTACTTTTTTTACCCGATTGGCCCTGTCTAATTATTGCATCACCACCACAGGATGATGCATCACCTACTAGAGCGGTAACCATAGGCACTCTCTCAATCTTATGTACAGCCTAACCGAGCAGCCTCTAACAATTAATTCCTTGTTAGAGCGGTAACCATAGGCACTCTTGGCTAGCCACCTGCCCGTTCAGCCCTCTGGAGTGCTAACCTTAGCTCTCCACAGCGGTATCCACAGGATTTAATCTTATTTTACTATTATCAACAATATTCAACGATGAATAACATTGCATGCATGCTTATTTCTCATTCCAACAAAAACCCTGTACTTTTCCTAAATTGAACCCTTAATACTGGAGAGACCCCTCCTGTACCTGTCCCTCAGATTCAGCTTGATCGAATCACACAATTTCTATGTTAAAAGTAAGAACGTCGCTTACCTCTATTAACAGTGGCCACTGTATTTTTGTGTGTGATTCATCCAAACTCTCTCCGATGGCGCAGTACCCCTATGGTCTCTGTTTCCAGTCCCTTCGTGGTTGCCAATTATGTCGTGGAAAATGATCATTATACATATTAAAAATCAAAGTTCTTCCAGAGTTGTTGTAGAATCAAGATAGACTTTATTACATAGAGCAACAAAAGCTGAGCTGGTCTGCAGAGCAACTAACTCACAACACTCGGCCCTCAGTTTATATACAATGTCCATTCCTGCTCATTTTACATACTTTTTAGCTTAAACCCTCCCAGCTGAGTTCCTCCACCATTGTTTCCAAACTTTCATCTTTTGACCGCTCCGCCCACTCTCTTAATTTATGATAGTGGCAAAATCTGACTTCTCCTCCTATATTTATTTAGTTTGGATACAATGGTGGCTAAACCACTGACTCTGGCTCAGACTCCCTCCTTGTGTACCACACTCCACATCACTTAGTCTTATTGCCTCATCCTCTGTACCACTGCTTGTCTTTTATAATTAGCTATATTTTAATCTTTATAGTCTAGAAAGATTTACTATTTTTAACCTATGGTCTGACCTTGGGTACCACTCGGTACCATAGCTCTGTATGGTCTACTGAAAAAATACCCAACAGGATCCTCCTATATTCCACATTTCATTGCATGGTATTTCCCTCCAGATTGAAGACGAGGTGGTGTTGAGACTCCTTTACGACGAGGCACGGGTTAACATCCTCGCGGGCCGCTTCCCCTGTGACCCTGAAACCTGGACGGGTTTGGGAGCACTGTCTTTTGCTCTGGAGCTGGGGGTCGGTCTGGACGACCAGAAAGCCACTGCTGCTTTAAGGTAAACTATGCCAGGTATCTGAACGTCTGCCTCTTGGTGAAGTTGTGTATTATTTTTAAGAGTATAACTCCAAATAATTGTTTCCAATATTTAGCTGCATACCCTGATTATTGCTCCTCCTCTCCCAACTCCCTCAGAGAGAAGAAGCTGATATCCTTCCTGCCTGCACATGTATCAGGGGGAGGTGGGGGGCTGTTCTCTACCCTGAGGGGGAAAGGGGGCCGTCAGGCAGGGCTGGAGCACAACCTGTTGGAGGAGTATCACAAGATCAGCACCTTAGGCAGCACCCCCCCGGAGCCCACTCAGCATCTGCGCCAGTACCTCAGCACATGCCATTCTCTGCCTTACTACGGGTAAGGAACAAGCAAAACTAATGGCCTCAACTTAACTGCATGGAACACATTCACAGTTTGGATATTCATGTGTCACTTACATCATGTTTGTTTATTGTCTGGCCAGGTGTGCTTTCTTCTCGGGGGAGATTGACAAGCCAGCCCAGGGGATTCTTCATAGAGCAGGACGGAAAGCTGTCAATGTGGGGATCAGTCTGGAGGGGGTGTATGTAATGGACATAAAAGAGAAGGTGAGACCTGGAATGTCAAGTTAAAATGAATGATAACTCCTCTACATGACCAGCAGAATATGACCTATTTTACTGTGTGTGATTGAGTAAGCTGTGGATTTGTATGAACCAGAGGTATCCTTTATCAATGCAAAAAGACTTCACTGAATGACCCAATCCTCCACTTTTCTGCCTCATTCTCTCTGGTGCATTCCTACTCCATGACAGCACGTGCTCCTGGGCCTGCGTTTCAGTGAGTTGTCTTGGGACCACAGCTACCCTGAGGGGGAAGGTGACTCACACATCCTGTGGCTCGAATTTGATGGGGAGGAGGCCGGCACCCCTGTCAACAAGTTACTGAAGATCTATTCAAAACAAGTAATGAAACCTAAACTTAACTTTTTTTTTTTCCAAAGGTCACTTGTGTTTTTCATTAGTAGGGCGTCATAGATGTCATTGAAGTGACCAGAGTTGCTACTGTTCTTTATTCCCTCCTTGTACCTCTAGGCAGAGCTTATGAGCGGCCTTATTGAGTTCTGTGTGGAGCTACGGTCTGCAGCCGAAGGAGGGGCGGCGACGGAAACGGACAGTGATGTCTGTCCATCCCATCAGCCTGCTGGACAGGCGGGGGATAGTGACAGAGGAAGGGGCGGTCGCCGCGGCAAACTGCGCAGGCAGAGCAGTGTGGTGTGCAGTCGGGTCCATACACTGAACACCATCAGCTACGTGGACAACGGTGAGTCTGGGGAGAGGCCATTATCCATGTCATTCATTTAGTCAGTATTGACCATCCATATAAGCTTCATTTGCTCCCCTGTAGCTCAGTTGGTAGAGCATGGCGCTTGCAACGCCAGGGTTGTGGGTTCGTTTCCCACAGGGGGCCAGTATGAAAATGTATGCACTCACTTAACTGTAAGTCGCTCTGGATAAGAGCGTCTGCTAAATGACTAAAATGTCAATGTAAAATATCAGGTTAGGTTATAAAACTAACTGTTAAATGTATTTGTTGTCCTCCGGGCAGGTAAAGAAATCAAACGCTTGAAGCCAAAGAGAGCTGCTTCCTTTTTCACCAGGCAGGCACAGCCGCCCACATACTCATCAGTACAGGTGGCAGAGAGTTTGGAGCAAGGGTGAGCCTCCATCTCCGGTATAGGCACTGCTCTATGCTAACTGGAGACCAAAACTGAACATGCAAGTTGAGATTGAGAGAAAAAGATAAGCAGGGAGTTGGAGAGGTTTATCTTCTTGATTGAGGAAATACTATGGACCAAGAGTAGGATTTAAGTGTGAATAAATATTTATGGTTAAATGTTGTGTATATGAAGTTACATGAGAATATTGGCATTCTTTAGGTGCTGCAAAGTGACGTTGAGTGTCATTACTTCACTGGTCAAGTTAAACCAGCTACCTATTGGTAGAAGTTGGAGTTTAATATGAAACTGTTGATGAGTAGTGGTAACGTTCACAGTAGCGCCACCTTTTATCTTTTACCCTTGTGATTGGGGACCTTTATTACAGTTCTCCTTCAGATGGCGTTTATGTGCAATGACTACATACGCTATATATACAAAAGCATGTGGACAGTTCTTCAAATTAGTGGATTGGGCTATTTCAGCCACACCCGTTGCTGACAGGTGTATAAAATTGAGCACACCGCCATGCAATCTCCATAGACAAACATTGTCAGTAGAATGGCCTTACAGAAGAGCTCAGTGACTTTCAACGTGGCACCGTTAAAGGATGACACCTTTCCAACAAGTCAGTTTGTCAAATTTCTGAAGCGTGTAGCGCGTAAAGATTGTCTGTCCTCGGTTGCAACACTCACTCCCAAGTTTTAAACTGCCTCTGGAAGCAACGTCAGCACAATAACTGTTCGTCGGGAGCTTCATGAAATGGGTTTCCATGGCCTAAGCGTCGGCTGGAGTGGTGTAAAGCTCGCCGCCATTGGACTCTGGAGCAGTGGAAATGCATTCTCTGGAGTGATGAATCATGCTTCACCACCTTGCAGTCCGATGGACGAATCTGGGTTTGGCGGATGCCAGGAGAACGCTACCTGCCCCAATGCATAGTGCCAACTGTAAAGTTTGGTGGAGGAGGAATAATGGTCTTGGGCTGTTTTTCATGGTTCGGGCTAGGCCCCTTAGTTCCAGTGAAGGGAAATCTTAACGCTGCAGCATACAATGACATTCTAGACGATTCTGTGCTTCCAACTTTGTGGCAACAGTTTGGGGAAGGCCCTTTCCTGTTTCAGCATGACAATGCCCCTGTGCACAAAGCGAGGTCCATACAGAAATGTTTTTTTTCGAGATCGGTGTGGAAGAACTTGACTGGCCTGCACAGAGCCCTGACCTTAACCCCATCGAACACCGACTGCGAGCCAGGCCTAATCGCCCAACATTAGTGCCCAGCCTCACTAATGCTCTTGTGGCTGAATGGAAGCAAGTCCCCGCAGCAATGTTCCAACATCTAGTGGAAAGCCTTCCCAGAAGAGTGGAGGCTGTTATAGCAGCAAAGGGGGGACCAACTCCATATTAATGCCCATGATATTGGAATGAGATGATTGACGAGAAGGTGTCCACATACTTTGTGTCATTTAGGGTATCATCCATTGAAATGTATGCAACGCTCTTGGAAACCGAATAACACGAGGCATTGTTTTGTCTGAAAGGAGGGCGATATTGGAGGCTCTGCAACTACCTTGTTCAAACCTCCAGTCTTTGTACCAAAACAAACTTATCTTGTGGTAGTCTATGCCGCTCCGTGCTAAACACTCAGATTCAGAGTCTCATGGTTGTCATGGACTTTATCTGCGTCCTCCTCACAGAATGACACCATGTTGTACACCATACAAGGGACTTGGGAGGGGACAGACTAAAGGGACTTTTCTGATGTGTAAACCGATATTTTAATTTCAGAATTGGTTAAATGTAGGTTACGGTTAAGGTAAGGGTCAGTTTTAGATTTGGCTAGTCGGTTTGCACGTCAGAAAAGTCAATTTAGTCTCACCCACTTAGCTGACCATTCAACAAGTGGATGTGTTTGCTGATGACGGTTCTTCTGCTGGCCTCTGTTCAGTATGAGAGGAGCGATTCTACTGTTTATCTCTGATGCAATTAAGTGTTTTATAAAAAACTGAAGGATGTGGTTTCCACTGTTATAACTGATATTGTCAATTATGCAAACATAGATGCAAAGACAACAACAAAATGCTCCGATTCATAATTCCTAAGGCACGCCATCTATGGATTTTGTATTCCTTTTTTTTTTTTTAATTGTAGTGTACTCACTTGCTGTATGTGCACATCATTCAATATGTTAGACATGCACTATTGATATATCTGAAATACTGTAAAGTTTTTAAATTTTGTCATTATTTGTATTCTTAGTATTATTTAAGTAATAACTTAACTTGGACTAATATATTGTGACTCTCATACACTGTCTCTGTTTCTGTCTTTCTCACACTCAAATGAAGCAATAGGTCATGTGAAACCTTGTTTTTCAACACAGTCTGGATAAAAAGACCAAGTGCCTTTTTGTTTCAGTATTAAGTTGGCCATTGAGAGACTGACCTGGTAAACGTGTAGGCTTGTTTGTCTGTTAAACATGATCTGCTCTGTTTGCCCCTTGTACGTTGGCTGTGTTTACAGATGCAGCCCAATTAGGATCTTTGTACCCTAATTGATTTTTTTGACCAATCAGATAAGCTCTTTTGCCAATAATTGGACAATATATCAGAATTGGGTTGCCTGTGTAAACGCAGCCATAGAGACAAAAATATATCAAACCCTGTAACTTCACTGTTTTCTTTCCTTTGTAACTTATATAATGTGCACTACCAAACTTAACCAGTGACTGACTGTAGGTTTAGTTAAACCCATAATAAAGCGTTTTTTATTCAGCTTTGTACTAATGTTTTGACATAACAGTGCTCAAAAACTACAAGATTGTTATGATTGTGTTTTTATTTTAAACATTACTATTACGTTTTTTTGTTGTCCATATTTGATTAATAAAAATGGTTTGAATATCAGATCCTCAGTTCCTTGATTTTGTGTTCTTTGAGTCATTGCTGCCACCTACTGGCTCGAGCTTGTCATCGGAACATGTACGGTAACTTCTCTGTTTGCGGTAGTGACGGGGCGCATAGCTGGTTGTGTGATTAGCTGGCTGTCAGTTATATTTAGCTATTATTTGGTCTGTCCTGCAATTCTGAACAATTCTGCCGGTATTCGGTCTAAATGGACGGGGATATCAGTGCTACGGCTATGGCCACCACACCACCTGACTCCGACCCAGCGCGGAAGCGCCGAGTGCACGGTATGTTGAAGCTCTATTATGGATTGAACGAGGAAGGAAACACCGTGGATCAAGCAGAGTCCCTGAATCCGTGCGATATAAACGGGACGCATTTCGATCCTGAGGTTTATCTCAATAAGGTAAACTCCCATTTCTGTGTCTGGATGCGACACATAGCTAGTCACTGAACATTAGACAATAAATTAAATCAAGCAAATTATTATTTTCTGTACAAGAGACAATGCTAACTGCTTATCTGGCATTGGTGTCAGTCACCCGGGTAGTACAGTCGCTCAGTGATGTCTGTTAGTTGTCTTGTCTTCAAAACTGACCTTTATGTCATATTGGTGGCTGCAGCTTAGGAGAGAATGTTCCCTTGGAGAGCTGATGGACCAGGAGAGCTGCATGGTGAAGCAGATCCGCTCCTTGGACAGTGACATGCAGACATTGGTGTATGAGAACTACAACAAGTTCATCTCTGCCACAGGTAAACAAATAGGTGACAGTGTATGCAATGCATTGGATATCATGTTATTACATTGGATCATGTTTGCATCACTCACTATTTAGTGCACATACCATGTAGTGAATGAATGAATGCTCTCATCTCCTCCCACTAGACACAATCAGAAAAATGAAGAACGATTTTAAGAAGATGGAGGACGAAATGGACTGTCTCTCTACCAACATGGCTGCTATCACAGAGTTCAGTGCACACATCAGTGGGACTCTTCAGGACCAGCATGCACAGATAACCAAACTGTCAGGTTGGTAATGAAACCTGTGGTGACACGCCTCCACCGCCTGAAATGAAAACTAGATAACAAATCGTATTTGTTGGTCATATACCTATCATTGTCAGATTACTCGTTCTAACTTTTCCTCTCTCCCTCCCCCACCCAGGAGTCCACACTCTTCTTAGAAAGCTGCAGTTCCTGTTTGAGCTGCCTGCCAGGCTGAATAAGTGTCTGGAGCTGCAGGCCTATGCCCAGGCAGTGAGCTCCCATCGTCGTGCCCGCTGCGTGCTGCAGCAGTACAGCCACATGCCCTCCTTCAGGGGTATCCAGGATGACTGTCATGCCATCATGAACAAGCTGGCACAAGAGCTTAGGCAGAAGTTCAGGTAAGAGAGGTGGTCACTTGTGGAAAGATTCTGCGTGCAAACTGAGAGAATCTGTCGGGACTGAATGGGATGTGTAGGATAACCAGCAGCAGTAGATCCGGTGTTTGGTTTTTCCTCACTGGCTATTTGGACAAATCACGATTTCACAGGTGTTAGCATCTTTTGGATTTCAGAATGGGAGGGGACATTCGGCCCGTAACTTGCAAAGAGAGAGGGTGGAGCTCATCGTTCCGGTTCCGCTCCTTCTTCTAGCATTTCTTGATCTCTTCTCTTAACATGTATGGACCCAGAACTTAATCGAGCAGCTGACCAATTACCTGAGACTTGGGACTGGGTTAACCGAGATTAGTATGGTTGCAAAACAATGGTCTTTTAATTTTCATTTCTAGTTCACATTCTATAGTAATAATCCATTATGCCTCTGCATGGATGCCTTACCTCTGCTTGGGGTTGAATGTGTTTGCAGAGATGGTGGTTCGAGTGCGATGGACCTTTCAGAGTGTGTGGAGCTTCTGCTGCAGCTGGATGAGCCAGCAGAGGAACTCTGTGACAAGTTCCTGAGTCACGCACAGTCACGACTGGAAGCAGACCTCCGACGACTGGAGGCGGAGCTAAGACCACCATTGTCCTCTGGACCCACATCAGTGATATATCCTTCCACTGGCCCTGCCCGCAGACTGTCAGCTGCACCCACTGCTGGATCTCCCACTGACCCCACCTCTCCAGGCAATCCCTTCCTCTCTCCCAGCTCAAGGACTGATATTCTGGAATTCATAGACAGAGGTTGCAATGAATTCGTCAGCAGCCTTTGCTTGGTCATTGCCTCGTACCAAGAGTTGTTTGTCAACCGTCCACAAGAGGGTAATCTGGCCTCCAAAAACATCCCCCAGATGGCTGTTGGCAAGCTGCATGCTTTCGTGGATGCCCTGGCCACCCGCTACTTCTCACTGGTGGAGAGGAGGATACAGGAGGAGAAGAGTGTTGGAGACAACTCTCTTCTGGTCCGGGCTCTGGACCGTTTCCACCGCAGGCTCCAGGCCGTGGCCAAACTGCTACCTGGGTCTGCTGTGCCCAGCCAGGGGACTGAGATTGTGGTGTGGGCGGCCAGGGAGAGGATCAAGCAGTACCTGGCAGCCCTGCAGAGCTTCTACCTGGACAGCCTGACAGACGTGAGGCAGGCCCTAGCAGCTCCTCGGCTGGGTGGAAGCTCAGCTGGAGGTGGGTCTCACCTAGCGGGACCAGCCACTGGGAAAGATGCTCCCGCCAGCCTGCCAGAGCTCGTCTCCTCTCTGTCTGCCTCCATTCTCAATCAGATCAAGTCAGTGCTGGCATCAGTGCACCTCTTCACAGCAAAGGACATCACCTTTTCCAATAAGCCTTACTTCAAGGTGAGATTAATACTGATGCTATTGTGAGTTAGTTGAGTCCCTCAGTTTGTGAGGTGTTCTGACATTATGCCTTTGGTACATATTTTCTGAATTTGGTATGCTATTTATGTAATTGACAACTCTCTTTCTCCTCTCTCTATTTCAGGGGGAGTTTTGCAGCCAGGGTGTGCGTGAGAGCCTTGTGGTTAACTTCATTAAGTTTGTGTGCCAGTCCTCACGTCAGTTCTGTGAGACTGCGGGAGACAGGGGTGGCTCTACACCCCCTGCCCTCCTACTGCTGCTGTCACGCCTCTGCCTGGACTATGAAACCTCCACCATCTCCTACATCCTCACCCTCACAGACGAGCAATTCCTCGTGCAGGTAAATATGCCAATGAGACTCTGAATACTCCTTGAATGCAGTTGATGGGAATGTAAGAAAATATGTACAAATAATAGGTCCTCTTTAGTCATGAGAAATGTATGTCACATGCTACTACACATGCTGTTATATCCTCTGGTTTCTCTGGTGTTCACAGCATCACTCTCCTGTAACTGCAGTCGCAGCTTTATGTGGAGAGGCCAGAGAGGCAGCACAGAAGCTACTGAACCATTATGTCAAGGTAAAGTGCCTTCAGAAAGTATTCACACCCTTTGACTTTTTCCACATATTGTTTTGTTACAGCCTGAATTTAAAATGGATTCAATTGATATTTTTTTGTCACTGGCTTACACACAATACCCTATAATGTCAACGTGGAATTATGTTGTTTGAAACTTTTACTAATTAATAAAAAATGAAAAGCTGAAATGTCTTGAGTCAATAAGTATTCAACCCCTTTGTTATGGCAAGCCTAAATAAGTTCAGGAGTAAACATTTTCTTAACAAGTCACATAATAAGCTGCATGGTGGTGGTGGCTGCATCATGTTATGGGTATGCTTGTAATCGTTAAGGACTGGGTGGTTTTCAGGATAAAAAAGAAATGTAATGGAGCTAAGCACAGACAAAATCCTAGAGGAAAACCTGGTTCAGTCTGCTTTCCACCAGACACTGGGAGATTAACTCACCTTTCAGCAAGACAATAACCTAAAACACAAGGACAAATCTACACTGGAGTTGCTTACCAAGAAGACAGTGAATGTTCCTGAGTGGCCGAGTTACAGTTTTGACTTAAATCTGCTTGAAAATCTATGCAAAGACTTTAAAATGGCTGTCTAGCAATGATCAACAACCAATTTGACAGAGCTTAAAGAATTTTGAAAATAATAATGGGCAAATAGTGTACAATCCAGGTGTGCAAAGCTCTTAAAGAGTTACCCAGAAAGACTCACAGCTGTAATCGCTGCCAAAGGTGATTCTAACATGTAATGACTTGGGTGTGAATACTTATGTAAATTCGATATTTCTATATTTCATTTTCAATAAATTTGCAAAAATGTGTCATCGTGGGGTATTGTATGTAGATGAGTGAGAATCTGTTTTTAAATTCAGGCTGTAACACAACAAAATGTGAATACATTCTGAAGGCACTGTACACATTTTCCCACCTTACCAACAAATTACTATTGCTGCAAATGGACATTTCAGGCCTATTCCTTCTATTTCTCTGCTGACCCCTTCTTTCTTGTTGTGGACAGGTTCAGGGCCTGATCATATCCCAGATGCTGAGAAAGAGTGTGGAGACACGAGACTGGGTCAACACCATCGAGCCACGGAACGTCCGTGCTGTGATGAAGAGAGTGGTGGAGGACACCACCTCTATTGATGTGCAGGTAATGTCCGTTATCTATATAAAACCCTTTGGTTATCATGCTTTGTAATGTGGGAAAACTGAAATTACTGTATAGTTGTGAGTGGACAAAAGCATCATCAGTGCTAGGAATCTAAACCGCTTTACTCCCTCCCCTGATCTGTCTCTCCTTGCCCCTACAGGTGGGTCTTCTCTATGAGGAGGGAGTGAGGAAAGCCCACAGCAGTGACTCCAGCAAAAGGACCTTCTCTGTCTACAGCAGCTCAAGGCAGCAAACCCGCTACGCTCCCAGCTACACACCCAGGTACCAGAACTACAGTTGCCTAACCTTTTCATAATAACATAATAAATGAACACATAACTGCATCACAATGTGTGGATGTTTAGCAGAGGCAGGATCAGTCTAATGCTAGTATGATGGCTATCTTTCCTAATGGATTATGAACGGTTTTGTCTCTCTGCAGTGCTCCTATGGATACCAGTCTCCTGAGTAATATACACAAGCTCTTCTCTGAGCGGATCGACATCTTCAGTCCTGTGGAGTTTAACAAGGTGGGTAGGGAGTGATCACAGAGCTCTGGTAGCTTAGAGCCTAGAGCAGAGGTCTTCAACAGGTGGATTGCGAGCAACAAGTAGCTCGCAGCCCTTCCATGAGTAGCTCGCGAAGCAATTCTAAAAGTACAGGTACTTTTTTTCAGGTGTTCCATCTCAAACTGTCATAAACATAAAGCTCCCGGCTACTATCCAATCAAAGCAACATTGACATTATCCCACCCCTGTTTAGCCACTATTGGCTTAAAAATCCAAACGTAACACAATATCTGCCAATTAATTTCCAGCAATATTACCTGTCTGTCTGTTTGGTGCGCACATTTGTCTATGCTCACTCCGTAAGTAGCCAGTTAGCAATGCTAGTAATGATAATGACCTTCTCAATTAAATGTTAACTGCAAAGTAGGCTTGCCTGACAAAGATATCATTATTATTTTTATCAATTGGGTGGCCATTGTTTTGCAAACTCGGCCATGACATGTTCCAGCAGTAGGCCTAACAGAAACACTGAGCAATGAAATGGGAATTACACTCAAATCAAACATTGTTTTTTTTTCCCCCAGACCTCAAAATTGGTTTTCTGATGTGATTGGAGCATTAATATGGACTTAGAACATTCATTTTCGTTGTTTCTCTATGAAAAATTGTAATATTGAGTGTACCAAAACCAGGAAAAATAAAACAGAGAAAACGGAATTCCGGAGAATACAATAGATAATTATATATGGCCCCTTAGAGTTGTTTATTAACCATTATTTTACCAGGTATATTGACAGAAAACACATCACTTGTACAACAAGGACCCGGGGAAGAGTTGCAGGGTAGAGAAGAATGTGCCTATTTGAAAGCTATTAAAAAAATGAGTAGCTGGCAACATTTCATTTTTTAAAAGTAGCTCTCATTCTAGAAAAGGTTGGAGACCCCTTGCGTAGAGACTCTCTCTTACACCCCCCATTTGACCGTCTTCATCTCCTCTCTCAGGTCTCTGTGTTGACAGGGATCATAAAGATCAGTCTGAAGACATTCCTGGAGTGTGTCCGTCTGCGTACCTTTGGTCGTTATGGCCTGCAGCAGATCCAGGTAGACTGCCACTACCTGCAGATGTACCTGTGGCGCTTCGTCTCTGATGAAAATCTGGTCCACTTCCTGCTGGACGAGATAGTGGGCAGCACTGCCCACCGCTGCCTGGACCCCGCTCCCATGGAGCAGAGCGTCATTGAGGTCATCTGTGAGAGAGGTTAAAGGCCAGAGGTCACATTGGTAGAGGAACTGGTGAATTGTGATGGTGAAATTGAAGAGTGTGTAACAGGTTAAAACCAAAAAAATGCCTTGAAGTCAAGTGAACTGGAAGATTGGACAAAGAGGGCTTTTGCTGGAAACACTCGATTCCCATGATGTAAATGTGGGTCAGGAGGGTGATTGAGATTACTATGAATGTTATTATGAATGATGTGATGATGTTTGGGTGGGGTACATCTGTAATCATTTGATTTAGTAATTACAAAAATTATCATATGGTAATATGAATTTGATTTAAAAAATCTAACTCATAAACAGATTTGCCTCTCCTACCTTCAAGGACATGTGATCTCAATTATTTGTATTTCTCTTGTTCTTCCTTTGCACACACAATCCTGCAATTTAAATTATAATGATTGTGTTACAATTAATCATCTCTGTAAAGTATGTTATATAAAGTGTCAGTATTCTAAGTAATAACTTTGTGTTTCAATTCATTTTGAATCATGATTGATTGATCATCATATTTTAATCACTTATGGAAATAATGTTTGCGGAGGTGTAGTGTGAGTACTTTCTCAAATGTCATAAGCAAGAGTCCCGTCTCTAGCAACCAATAAGAGCGCTGTAGAGTAAAAAACGTTTACATTACATTTGACCATCGCTTTTCTCCGCCCTATGATAAAGGTGGTCACCGCCCCAGCGTAAATTTGATTAGTTTAACGCTCCCCTCTCCATGCTCTTCTGATGACCATGGCTTAATCTAATTGGTTTAGAGATGGGTCATGTTCAGGGGGGTAGCTTTGGGGCGGTTCTACGCACGCGTTCTTATCGTCGCACTGTACTTGTAGTTTGGAGTATGGATACATGAGGAATACAGGTGAGTGAAGCTATAAATTATGCGATGATGGAAAAAACCTTAAATATTGTTGGTTTACGTCCAACGCAAAACTGTTCTCTTTAGCTGTTATCTATTAAAGCGCATGTAATTGTTTTTCTGTGATATAACCTGTCTGTTGTATTGCCTGTCTATATTGTGTAATTCAACCGAATCGTATCCATGACGCTGGAGAAGAGCTATATTGGCTGAGTTATGTTTTTATTTTTCAACATCAACAACAAAGTATGACATTATAGTAGTAGTCACTGGTCTATACTAGTCCAGATGCATTCAGAGAATCTGAGATAAAGGTCTTTATTGCTGCCTATACACATTTCTCTTTAGCATACACTCTACCAGTGTCCTCCTTTTAACATTTTCACAGGAGACAGATAATGAAGCTCAACAAACAAAAATCCCCACAAGCAGAAAAGGAATTTGGAGGGACTTTGGGTGAGTCAAATATTGTTTGCTTTATTAAAAGGAATTTGGAGGGACTTTGGGTGAGTCAAATATTGTTTGCTTTATTAAAAAGAAAACACATTTTGTATGTTTAGTTAAAATAGGCATATTGCAATCCCATCTCCCACCCACTCTCTTCTCTACTAACTTCACTTCCTTCCTCTTCTCCCTTGAAGGTGCCACCTGCATCCCTGTCTTCCTGCCCCTGACGGTGCTTTACCTGCTGTGTGTATGTCGCTCCCCTGCGGCCAGTGTGCTCCAGTGGCCCCCTGTCCTGCCCCCCACAGACCAGCTATGGGACCCCCTGGCCCCTGTTCTCATACTGGGCTGGATGGCCCTCCAGAGCTTCCTTTACCTGCTGCCTATGGGGAAGGTGAGACAAGTTGTTAATTATGAATACCTTTTAGTTCTGGAGTCCTTGTCTATTGACTATGTTGTCATGTGAGGTTTGGCTGATACACATATCTGTCTTACCTGCAGGTGTCTGAGGGGATGGTGCTAAAAGATGGATCGAGACTCAAGTACCCCATAAACGGTATTGTAGGGTTGGCGGGTGAAGCAATAATGCTTTGAAGTAGTGTGTTGCAATGTCAATGTGTATAGTTTCAATTTTAGGCAGGTTTGATTGAGCTGGGTGGGAGGAGTTAACTGGTTATGTTTTCCTTTTATCTACTGCAGGTGTCATTGACCTTGAGCTAAGCAGGCCATTAGTCCACACTGATTTATCTTGTTGCAAGCTACTCAGTCCAAACTCAACTTATGATTCCCTCTCCAAACTAATTATCTCTTGTTGTATCTATCCCTCTCTCCTGCTCCCCCACCCTTTCTAGCTGTTTCTACAGTGAGGGGAAAAAAGTATTTGATCCCCTGCTGATGTTGTACGTTTGCCCACTGACAAAGACATGATCAGTCTATAATTTTAATGGTAGGTTTATTTGAACAGTGAGAGACAGAATAACAACAAACAAAAATCCAGAAAAACGCATGTCAAAAATGTTATAAATTAATTTGCATTTTAATGAGGGAAATAAGTATCTGACCCCTCTGCAAAACATGACTTAGTACTTGGTGGCAAAACCCTTGTTGGCAATCATAGAGGTCAGACGTTTCTTGTAGTTGGCCACCAGGTTTGCACACATCTCAGGAGGGATTTTGTTCCACTCCTCTTTGCAGATTTTCTCCAAGTCATTAAGGTTTCGAGGCTGACGTTTGGCAACTCGAACCTTCAGCTCCCTCCACAGATTTTCTATGGGATTAAGGTCTGGAGACTGGCTAGGCCACTCCAGGACCTTAATGTGCTTCTTCTTGAGCCACTCCTTTATTGCATTGGCCATGTGTTTTGGGTCATTGTCATGCTGGAATACCCATCCACGACCCATTTTCAATGCCCTGGCTGAGGGAAGGAGGTTCTCACCCAAGATTTGACGGTACATGGCCCCGTCCATCGTCCCTTTGATGCGGTGAAGTTGTCCTGTCCCCTTAGCAGAAAAACACCCCCAAAGCATAATGTTTCCACCTCCATGTTTGACGGTGGGGATGGTGTTCTTGGGGTCATAGGCAGCATTCCTCCTCCTCCAAACACGTTGAGTTGATGCCAAAGAGCTCCATTTTGGTCTCATCTGACCACAACACTTTCATCCAGTTCTCCTCTGAATCATTCAGATGTTCATTGGCAAACTTCAGACGGGCCTGTATATGTGCTTTCTTGAGCAGGGGGACCTTGCGGGCGCTGCAGGATTTCAGTCCTTCATGGCGTAGTGTGTTACCAATTGTTTTCTTGGTGACTATGGTCCCAGCTGCCTTGAGATCATTGACAAGATCCTCCTGTGTAGTTCTGGGCTGATTCCTCACCGTTCTCATGATCATTGCAACTCCACGAGGTGAGATCTTGCATGGAGCCCCAGGCCGAGGGAGATTGACAGTTATTTTTTGTTTCTTCCATTTGCAAATAATCGCACCAACTGTTGTCACCTTCTCATCAAGCTGCTTGACGATGGTCTTGTAGCCCATTCCAGCCTTGTGTAGGTCTACAATCTTGTCCCTGACATCCTTGGAGAGCTCTTTGGTCTTGGCCATGGTGGAGAGTTTGGAATCTGATTGATTGATTGCTTCCGTGGACAGGTGTCTTTTATACAGGTAACAAGCTGAGATTAGGAGCACCCTAATCTCAGCTCGTTACCTGTATAAAAGATACCTGGGAGCCAGAAATCTTTCTGATTGAGAGGGGGTCAAATACTTATTTCCCTCATTAAAATGCAAATCAATTTATAACATTTTTGACATGCGTTTTTCTGGATTTTGTTGTTGTTATTCTGTCTCTCACTGTTCAAATAAACCTACCATTAAAATGATAGACTGATCATTTATTTGTCAGTGGGCAAACGTACAAAATCAGCAGGGGATCAAATACTTTTTTCCCCCTCACTGTATGTTTCTCTGTTTTGCTCTCCCTCTACAGGTTTTCATGCCCTTTGCGTCACAGCTGTGCTGTTGACATTGTCACTATGGCTGGGGATGCCTCTGGGGTATCTATTTGAACTGTTGTTGCCCCTGGCAGTGTGTGCTATTGGGGTGTCATTCCTCCTCTCCCTCTACCTCTACATATGCTCCTTCTGGGCCCCTCACCATGCCCTTGCCCAGGGGGGAAACACAGGTAAGGGTGGTGCAGGATTAGGGAAGTAACGTAAAATATCAAGTAACCAACATACATAAAAATGCATTAGAGGTTTTCCTGTATAGGCTCACGCCTGCTATATCTCACACAGGAAACCCCCTGTATGATTTCTTTATCGGACGAGAGCTGAACCCACGGATTGGAAGCTTTGATCTGAAATATTTTTGTGAGCTGAGACCAGGTCTGATTGGCTGGGTGAGTGGAAATGGAGCAAGGGTGACTAGATTATATAAAGTAAAATATAATTGTGTTGATATATAAAAAAATCTGATCCAACATACTCTCTTCCAATTAGGTGGTGATTAACCTTGGGATGCTGATGAAAGAGGTGGAGCTACGGGACTCCGCTTCCCTGGCCATGATACTGGTCAACAGCTTCCAGCTGCTCTACGTGGCAGATGCTCTGTGGAATGAGGTGAGTGGACAGTCCACAGGAATAGCTAGGAAATAACAGTGGTGGAACAGTGGTATACCATCGGTAACAGAGTGATCTCTAATGAGGATGCCAATTTAATTTATTGTGGTGTTACTCTGCGGAATGTATCATTGAGACCTAAAATTCATTTCTGAAGTGTTGTATGTTTCATTTGACAGTGGAATATGTTTTCTTGACTGATGCTCTCTCTGTGATGTTGCAGGAGGCTGTGCTGACCACCATGGACATAGTGCATGATGGCTTTGGGTTTATGTTAGTCTTTGGGGACCTGGCCTGGGTTCCCTTTACCTACGGCCTGCAGGCTGCCTTCCTGGTGGTGCACCCACAGTCCCTTAGTCCTCTGGGAGCCACGGCTATAGTCACATTGAATGGTAAATCAAGTTTCTAGATGTGGGGTGGGGAAGTGTGCATTCTTCTTCATTTAATCAATTGTTATATTGTATGTACCCTTATTAATGGAATGTATTTTATCTCTTCCTGTCATTAGGTGCTGGGTATTATATCTTCAGAAAATCGAACTCCCAGAAGAACCAATTCAGACGGGACCCTACGCATCCCAGTGTTGCAAGTCAGTATTCAACTTCTTGATTCGATTTCTGATGTCTCCTGGCATGGCAACTTCCACATGTTTTTAGTTTTGAATTAATATACTTAAATCAGTTTAACAGTTTTGAGAGGATAGATAGAATTGGGCACTCTCTCTGGCGCAATCTTTATTACTGGCTGTTTTCCATAATGGATCAAAGTGCATAATGAATACAGTGGACGGTAGGAGGCACCAGAGTACAATCTGGCCCCAACAGAAAGAGCAGATGGAGTGTGAATAATTTGCAATCTGATCTCTCTCAAATGACGGCCAAAACTAAAGAAAAAAAGTATTATCTTCCCCTGTGCCTGTAGACCTGGAGACTATTGCCACAGCAACTGGGAAGCGCCTTTTGGTGTCTGGCTGGTGGGGCCTCGTCCGCCATCCTAACTACCTAGGAGACCTTCTCATGGCCCTGGCATGGTCCCTGCCATGTGGTAAGTAGAAATCAAATACATAAGATCCTCTCTGCATCCAGCCGGCACATGTCCATAACCAGTGGCTGTACCTGAATAGTCAACATAATTTTGTCAGTGCTACTGACAGTATTCAGATTCCCATGTACTGTGTCTTTTTCCAGGATTCAACCATCTTCTTCCTTACTTTTATGTTGTGTACTTCACTGTCCTGCTGATTCACCGAGAGGCACGTGACGAAAGGCACTGCAGGGCCAAGTATGGCCTGGCATGGGACACCTACTGCAGACGCGTGCCCTACAGGATCTTCCCCTATATCTACTGAGCTAAGCTCTACCGAAGCAGTCGGGGCATAGCCGGGGCCCGGGAGCATGCAAGGGATGTGCACTGCATATGATAGCCAGCTGTGTTGTATAAAGTGCACTTTCTGAACCTCAACAGACTACACTGAACAAAAACGACTGAAATGCTGTATTTTCTCTGTCATAAAGAATATGTACTTTATAAGGGATTACTGTGGAGAAAATGGCCCTTCTGACTGGATAAACTGGTCTGACAAGCTGACACTTTGGCCCAGCAGCTTTACCAGTTGTTCACAGTAGTGATGTCTTTCTAGTGAGTCTCAAACACGATCAATCTTGAGCATTAGCTTTCGTACTAATCTTTCATTTCTTCCTCAAGATTGGACACTATGGGCCGGTTTCCCAGACACAGATTGAACCTAGTCCTGGGCTAAAAAGCATGCTCAATTGGGAATCTCCATTAAAAGTGCTTTTTAGCCCAGGAGTAGGCTTAATCTGTGTCCAGGAAACCAACCCTATACTTTATTTAAAATGATTAGTCAGTGGCAGGTCTGGAAACAGTGCTGAACAGATTAGTCACATTTCAGTAACTGTGTGATGTATTAGTAGCACTGATCTGAAAGATATTCAAATTATCATCATGACAATTTACATGTATTGAAATTAAGGTCATGTTAGACTTCATTGAGAGTGACTGAGTGTTAGCCTATTTCTTTAGTTTACATTAACTTTATTGCATAACTTTGTTGTGAATTTTTACCCAAAAAAACATGTCTCAATAGTCATTGCAGTCAGAATAAATGTTTACAAAATGGTATACAAACAAATAATACCAGTCTGGCCCTGAATTTGAATTGAAAATAACATAGGTAAATGAGTCTCTTTATTAAATGTTATAGAATACCAAAACATTCTCAATCTATTTCTTCAATCAACACACCCTTCGCTTTTCTTCTTCCGTTCTTCTTCTTCTCCAAAGCACTCCTCGCATCCTCCCTCTTCCTGTGCTCTCTCCATAACCCAGCGGCCAGTCTTCTCACCTCCTGGGTATTGTCAGACACCCAAGCTTGAAAGAAGTCACATTTCTTCCCAGCCAGGAAATACTTCTTTCTCACATCCCCTTCATCTCCCCCTTTGGGAAGAGCTGCCCTGGCCTGGGATAGCGCCGTACAGCATTGGCTCAAAGCTGCCTAGCAGTATCCAACAACATCCTGCTTACTTCTCCAAGTCAGAATATGAGCCACGGATTCCACAGCCCTGGCCGGGGCGCTGGGGTCCTCTCGGTCAAAGTAACCCCCGGACAAAATGGCTGCCTCCCCTCCCTGAAGTGCCTCCCGAAGGGAGCTGAACACCCTGCCTGAGCTCAGGACCTCGGACACAGTCAGAACCATCTGGCAGAACTCCTGAGTTAGGTCTGACTCGATGTCACCATTGATCAGGCGTAGGGCGAAGGTGTAGCCAAACAGAGCATTGACCAAGCCATAGCAAATGAGCGGATGGGGGATGGGAAGACCAGGAGCTCAGAGGTGGGATTTTGTCATTGACTGGAGGCACATTAGAGGTTGATTTTGTCATTGAATGGAGGCACATTAGAGGTTGATTTTGTCATTGAATGGAGGCACATTAGAGGTTGATTTTGTCATTGAATGGAGGCACATTAGAGTTTGATTTTGTCATTGAATGGAGGCACATTAGAGGTTGATTTTGTCCCCTTGGCCTTGCTCACCTCCTTTCTGCAGTTACCCTTTCTCTGTCCCTGCTCTTTCACTGATTTAGCCACACAAGTCCTTCCCAGAATCCTTGACTTCGATATCCGCGATGACCACAATTAGACTTTGACTCTTTCTTCACAACTGGAAGAGCATGCCCCTTCTGTCCTTTATCATCTGTCTTCACTGCTTCTCTTGTACTGCTCCCTCCCTGTCCTGCTGCATCTCCTCCTCCAGTAGGTCCATCAGGGCTTTTTCCCCCTCCTCGTGCTGCTCCCACCAGGGTCTCCACAGGGAGACCAGAGCTCCTACAGCCCCACCCTTTACCAGATTCCTAAACCTCCTTCTCCTGGCTGCTCAACAGGTCCCACAGTGCCACCTCAGAGAAAGCATTGATATTCAGCCCAGAGAGCCTGTCAGCCAAACCCAGCTCCTCACCGTCTTCAACCCCCTCATCCATGTCTCCAATATTTGCAACCACCACCTGCGCCGCTAATTCATCCTCGTCTCCTAACTCTGAGTTCGGTTAAAATGTATTTTATCTCCTGCACACTCACTTCCCCAGATGGCTGAATCTCTGCTAACCTGGAGAGGAGCTCTAAAACCTGTGCTCTTTCCTTTGTCTCCTCACTACCTCCCATTTCCTCCTCTCCATCCCTCCCTCTGCCCCATGTTTCAGCCTAAACAGAATATCCTGTATCTTCTTCCTCCGCATCTCCCATGTCTTTCAGCTCCTATAAAAGAGATTCCTTATAATATTCAACTGAGCACACGGAATGATTTGTAGTCCGGTAGCATTCCAGGCCACAGTTAGGTTCATTGCATCGTGGACAGGTATAGCAAGAGTGTTTGGATAAGCACAGCCTGCACACTTTGTGGTATCTGTATGATAAGCACCTCCATTCTCTTTCCCAGCAGCTGGTGTCAGAAATTCACTGTTGATTCCTCTGGCAGGAAGCTCAATTCCATCTCTAGTGAGTCTCAGACTCTGTGTCAGTCCATTCGGTGCAGTGGTGCTCTTCCCTTGGTCCAATGTCAGTCAGTAATTTCCTCACAGATGGAAGGATTCTCTAAGTATTGGATTCATTATTTTGTGTGACCAAATTAGTTTCTACTTCTCATTGCATGCGGATGTAATAATGTTTAATGAAAAGATGAATGTCCAATTTGCCTGAAAGGAAAGACATATTTTTGAATCCGAGTATACTCACAGCATTCAATGTCAGACATAACTTGGTTCACTAGGGCCGTACCTTAGATGTCTTCTCAGTATATCATCAGACACATGCAAATTCCAATACGTCGATATGGTACAGTAATTCTAATTTGATCGGCGTTTTATCAACCTCAAACTGTCAAAGAATTAAACGTGTGAGACTAAACTTTGGAGAAACTATGCCCGTCCACCTATCTGTTTCATGTCTCGGGTAGCCAGCATGGATAGAATGCAATAATTGACTAATATTTGCCATATTCTAATAGTTTTCATGTGGCAAAGATCGCCACGGGTCCATGCTGTGGTAGAACTTAACACTCCTTGGATGGTGAAACTTTTCAGCCAACCAGGAAAGCAAGGCCAAGCAATTCAGGCATTCTTGAAAGTCTGGATATATTATTTGTATAGTTGAAAAAACAAGTTATAGTTCAAGATTGGTCGTGCAAGTAGTAGGTATTTGGAATTAAATGTCAAGTGAGGCTACGTGTTGACATCACGTGCTCCACGTACCTTCAAACTTATTCGGCAATCATCACTAGTCGAAAAACACCTTCAATCATCATTTGTCGCAATAAAGAAAGTTGGACATAAGAAAATTCCACCCGTCGAACGGATACAAATATTATCGATCTTCAGAAAATTTATCCAATATCTGCCGCGACCATTTTGCGACATTGCTTTTGTCGAATATACCCTGGCCAATGGAAACCTGCCTACATAAACATCACAGTATCGTTTGGAATACTTCCCTCAAGTATAATTTCCTATATAAAAAAAAAAGCCACCAACAGCAATGAAAAATATGTAATACACCAAATCGTAAATTAATTTGTCAGTATTAACTACACCACTAAAACAGGTCATATTGTGGTATTATTTTATAGCAATAAAACGCATGAATCAAACTTACAACTGATATTGTTCCTGTGGATATCAAATAAAAATAGAGTAAATAAAGCAGAACCCCCCCCCCCCCCCATATGAAATGGCCATTTAATAATTCAATTTTCAAGTATGCTTATCAGCTGAGCTTAAGTTGTTACATACAAACAAATATAATTGACATGGAGCACATCTACATAAATAAACAACAGTCTCTTAATTATCCATTCTATTTCAATACAGGATGCATTTCAAATTGTTGGGTTTCATGTAGAAAAGTATGCACTCTTTTTCTCTGACAACTTCTGCGACAGTTTACCCCCTCGCCAGCAGTCCAGTTAGAATCCCTTCTTCACCAGCCACTCCTTCAGCTCTGTATCAAAGTGACCTTTGACCCGAAGTGTCATGGTCACCTCATTGACCTGTGTTGGCAGGTCTTTGCCAGTAAGCTGTTGCAGGTACTCCTTAACATCCTTCTCAAGAGCCTGACAGGAGAAAGTAGCACCATTAATCAGGAGGAAACAATTGCACATTGACAGGAAAACATAACATTCTGCCCAGGGTTTGCTAGATAAATCCAAAAGCTCTTATACTTCAACTCTGGTTTCCAGTCAGTCATCCTTACTGATCTACAATTCCGCAGAAGTTTCAAAAATGTTTTGACAGAAGAACCATAGAAATTATGTCTCACTCACCCAGATGTCCCCTTCAACCTTGCGTACAAGGGTTGTCTTGCGGCTGCCATGGGTGAGGTCAGTGTAGACAGGAACATTGTGCATTCGGGAGCGACGGATCATGTATGGCAAAGCAGGAGGCACCTCTATAACATTTTGGGTTAAAGGGGGTGAGGAAAAGATGGAAAAAACATTTAATTGAGGTTAATTAACCATAAAGTAAATAGCACCTGATAGGTTAGTCATTGATCATGACTCAGTTCCATTACATTACACTTAAGAGTCATTGGACAAAGGTGTCTTCTGTACAAGGGCGTTTTGTTAAGAGCCCTGACGCTCGGTCTGAACATTAACATGCATTGCTTGCGGTATGGTTTTGGAAGCATAAGGACCTTATCTTTCATATCACCGAAAAATATACTGTCGGCTGCAACTGTGATAAAGCCGGTTAAAACAGTGTATAGCAAGTGTGTATTTTGCATTTGTGAAATTATTTTTATGAAAGTAAAGGGCTTTACGTTTCTAGAACCATATCGCAATTGAGAATCGATTCTCGTTTTGGAGTATTTGGCTGTTTTGGCTGTCAGTCAGTCCACCTCTGAAAATAACAAGGTCCTTGGACCTTAAGGAGTGATGGTAACACTAGGCTCCTTAAGAGTACATCTTGGGCTACTGATAGGTGTGTTTGCTGAAACTATGAGAGCCTGTGTCTATGAGACTATAAACTACTGTAAGTGTTGGTAGACAAATCATGTTCATTAGTACAGTAGCGTGAAACAACTCAACAACAAATTGAAACGCAATAAAGGTATTTGAAGAAGTTAAATCAGTGTGAGAAACCAAACCATTGCTCTCCATTTGCCTTTAAAAACCAAAGAAAACATAAGGTGTCAAGCTTCACCTGATGGAGGAGTCCAGCCAGATGGGGAAGGACCGTCATGTTTAGGGGGAATGGGCACTCGTGAAGGTGGGATCAGTCGTTCCACAAATTTGTATTCTTCTGTAGATTGTAATATGCCAGTATTTGTTTCTCCAGCTGAGCTACACAATGTCTGTTTTTGAAGGGGAAGAGACAGGGATAAATGTATTATTGCATGCTCATGATAACTAATTCTTGAAAAAAAAACACATAAACCATCCCAGTTCCACACATTACGTATTGCTCGACTTTGACACGAGCTAGTTAGCATCTTTGATTGCATGCTAGCTAGCTAATGTTTGTTACTTCGATTTGAACATGATTTTACCAACATTTCGGCCATGTAAATAATTTTTTGAATGAAGATATGGGTATCAAATAGCCAACTCACTCGTAACCGTATCGTAGTATTTGGAATCCTTGCTGTGTGGTCGTACAGATTGAAACTTGCCCTAAATCCTCTGCATAACATTGCGGATCTGTGTATGAAGGAGAGCGACATGTTTCTTTCGACCACCACACGTGGGAGGGATCAGAGAATACTACGTCATAGGTATGCGCACTTCCTTTTCATTCTTAGTCAAGACCTGTGGACAGCAAGGTCCATTTTAAAGTAGTTCATTTTCTTCTTCACGATTGGCTGATCCCTCCTGATGACCCAGTTGGACAGGACTCCAACAGGGTTACCAGGAGGGATCAGCCAATGAATTTCGAAGTCCCACCAGTTGACTACATTAAAATCTGTTAAAATGGTGGAAGTTCTCAATGCGCTGGCCATTCTAATATGGCCTTTTGGTCCAGACGAAAGGTGGCACGCTTGTTGCACTGCGACTGCGAGACATTGGTGAGATATAAAATAAATGTAAGTTCTGTGTTGTAACATAAACTACATGACCAAAAGTATGTGGACACCTGCTCGTGGAACATCTCATTCCAAAATCATGGGCATTAATATGGAGTTGGTCCCCCCTTTGTTGATAACAACCTCCACTCTTCTTGTATCTTGTGCACGTGACAAATAAACTTTTATTTTATTTGACTAGCCAGAGCCAGAGTCTCAGGAGAATAACATTTTATATTTCCTGTCAACTTCAATGTCAACAAAGACAACTTTTTAAATAGGCAATATTTAAAATGTAATGAAACTTTCGAGTTCCATTGTTACTAGTACACTATACAAAAGTATGTGGAAACCCCTTCAAATTAGTGGATTCGGCTATTTCAGCCAAACCGTTGCTGACCAGGTGTGTAAAATCGATCACACAGCCATGCAATCTCCATAGACACACATTGGCAGTAGAATGGCCTTACCGAAGAGCTCAGTGACTTTCAACGTGGCACCGTCATAGGATGCCACCTTTCCAACAAGTCAGTTTTCAAATTTCTGCCCTACTAGAGCTGCCCCGGTCAACTGTAAGTGCTGTTATTATGAAGTGGAAACGTCTAGGAGCAACAACGGCTCAGCTGGGACCGCCGAGTGTTAAAGCGCGTAGCGTGTAAAAATCGTCTGTCCTCGTTTGCAACCCTCACTACCGAGGTCCAAACTGCCTCTGGAATCAAGGTCAGCACAAGAACTGTTAGTGTTTGTCAGGAGCTTCATGAAATGGGTTTCCATGGCCGAGCAGCCGCACACAAACCTAAAATCACCATGCACAATGCCAAGCGTTGGCTGGAGTGGTGTAAAGCTCGCCGCTATTGGACTCTGGAGCAGGGGAAACACGTTCTCTGGAGTGATATATCACGCTTCACCATCTGGCAGTCCGACGGACAAATCTGGGTTTGGCAGATGCCAGGAGAACGCTACCTGCCCGAATGCATAGTGCCAACTGTAAAGTTTGGAGGAGGAATAATGGTCTGGGGCTGTTTTTCATGGTTCAGGCTAGGCCCCTTAGTTCCAGTGAAAGGAAATCGTAACGCTACAGCATACAATGACATTCTAGACGATTCTGTGCTTCTAACTTTGTTGCAACAGTTTGGGGAAGGCCCTTCCCTGTTTCAGCATGACAATGCCCCCCATGAACAAAGCGAGGTCCATACAGAAATGGTTTGTCGAGATTGGTGTGGAAGAACTTGACTGGCCTGCACAGAGCCCTGACCTCAACCCCATCGAACACCTTTGGGATGAATTGGAACACCGACTGTGAGCCAGGCCTAATCGCCCAACATCAGTGCCCAGCCTCACTAATGCTCTTGTGGCTGAATGGAAGCAAGTCCCCGCAGCAATGTTCCAACATCTAGTGGAATGCCTTCCCAGAAGAGTGGAGGCTGTTATAGCAATAAAGGGGGAACCAACTCCATATTAATTCCCATGATTTTGGAATGATATGTTCGACGAGCAGGTGTCCACATACTTTTGGTCATGTAGTTTAACTTATTACTTCGATGTGATGGTTATTATATCAATATTTGCGCATAAAGGCGTTTCCACCGCCATTTCTAGCATAATACATTTTACCGACACAAAAAGATCCCACCATGTCGAACGAACAAATTGTCTGTCGGCATTTCATGTTTCCATCAGCCCGGTCGCAACTTTTTTCATGCATCAGGTAAATCATCCGCATGAAATGGTTGGATGGAAAACTGGTTATTGAAACTGGTTATTGAAAACTGGTTATTGAAAAGTATTTAGCTCTTTGTTCTCTTCCCTTCTCCCCTAATATTGAGGCATTGGAAGGACTGTCCTGTGATAACCAGGTGGTGTACCTCTGCATGACGATGCTGTGATCAGGCAGTCTGCACTGGAGTTCAGCACACTTGAGGTTTCCACCAGACTGTTGGGAGGCAAGTGATCAATAATTAAAGCTAGTCCTTAATTGAAACAATAACCAAATGGTCACCCCACCTCTGTTTTGGTTCAAAGCTGAGGGATGGGCCTGGAGAAATGTAACCACTCTCAAATTCATACAGAGCTATGGATGCAAGGACTGACCATCTACAGTATGATATACAAATTCTAGTTTTAACCATGTTTTGAGGATATACAGTGTTTGTTTACATTTACATTGTTTACAAACATTGGATTAAAACAAGCTTACATTTTGGGTTCTGATGGGGTACCAGTTGAACTAAGCTCATGAAGCGCTGCAACCTGGTCTCAGAGCATTTCGTATTATTCTGTATGTAAATCCGAGACATTACATTTAGTATGAAATGTTACGTTTCGCATGAATTTGTGGATGTCCATCACCCTTTTCGTATGATATGTTACAAATTACAAATCGTATTAGATGTTACGAATTTGCAAAACGTACAATATGTTATGAATTTGCAAAACATATGATATGTTATGAATTCTAGCTAGGTGGCTAATGTTAGCTAACTGGCTAACGTTAGCTAGGCTAGGGGTTAGGGTTAAGTTTAGGAGTTAGGTTAAAGGGTTCGGCCAACGATCCACCCAGAACAACCACCCTACTTTCGTTTTTGCCTTAAGTAACCATCTGTCTTATGTAACCATACCAAATGTAACATATCATATTAATTTGAGTGTCCCAGATTTACATTTACTATGTTACTTCTATGAGAGCAGGCAGGGCATTTTATAAGTTATATTTTTCCAGAATCAATGGGTATATATCATTAATTTAAAAGTAAAAACATTGATGTAGCAACTAATGATCTAGCTTCAAACATTATTGAACATTAAAGTAAGTATGTGAAATGATTCAGGTCTGAGCCATTTGTTTGTGTACCATTATTTCATGAGATTGTTTGGAGGGGTTTACTTTGATTCATCTTTTCCATTTCCTATCCCAATCCATGGCTCCTTGGCCAGAGCGTGAAATGTCAGGGGACAGACTTCCAAGGTGGGCTTTTGTGTTTAATAGAAATTAAATTAACTACTAAAATGAATGTTGCATATTCAACATGACTTGCACTTCTGGCAAGTTTGCTTTGAAGACGCCACACTTCTGACCCTTTGTTTATAACCATGCTCACAGGTGCACAAGCAGGAGAAGAAGAACATTAAGACTGGTAGGCTAAAACAAAGATCCATATATAACAGGCGCTTTGTGAATGTGGTCCCAACGCCAACTCATAAAACTATTTCCCTCATAGCCTATCTGCTGTGTCTCATCACAGTCGAACATTGACATGACCATTCACACTGTGTGAGCAATGGACTTGGACCAAGTTCTGTCATTTGGAATTACATTTGGAATTGGGCTGATATTCGCTGTGATTAAATACAATAAAACTCAGTGAGGAAAGAAAATGGTACTCTGCACCGATTTGATCAAATCAAATCAAATTTTATTTGTCACATACACGTGTTTAGCAGATGTTATAGCGGGTGTAGCGAAATGCTTGTATTTCTAGCTCTGACAGTGCAGTAATATCTAACAAGTAATATCTAACAATTTCACAACATATACCCAATACACACAAAACTAGTAAGGAATGGGATTCAAGAATATATACATATATGGACAAGCAATGACAGAGCGGCATGGTCTAAGATACAGTAGAATATTATAGAATATAATGCAGTATATGAGATGAGTAGTGCAAGATATGTAAACATTATTAAAGTGACTAGTGTTCCATTTCTTAAAGTGGCCAGTGATTTCAATAGACAGCAGCAGCCTCTAATGTGCTAGTGATGGCTATTTAACAGTCTGATGGCCTTGAGATAGAAGCTGTTTTTCATTCTCTCGGTCCCAGCTTTGATGCACCTGTACTGACCTCGCCTTCTGGATGATAGCGAGGTGAACAGGCAGTGGCTCGGGTGGTTGATGTCCTTGATGATCTTTTTGTCCTTCCTGTGACATCAGGTGCTGTATGTGTCTTGGAGGGCGGGTAGTTTGTCCCCAGTAATGCTTTCGGCAGACCGCACCACCCTCTGGAGAGCCCTGCGGTTGCGGGCGGTGCAGTTGCCGTACCAGGCTGTGATACAGCCCGACAGGATGCTCTCAGTTGTGCATCTGTAAAAGTTTGTGAGGGTTTTAGGTGCTAAGCCTCCTGAGGTTGAAGAGGCTCTGTTGTGGCTTCTTCACCACACTGTCTGCATGGGTGGACCATTTCAGTTTGTCGGTGATGTGTACGCCAAGGAACTTGAAGCTTTACACCTTCTCCACTGCGGTCCCGTCGATGTGGATAGGGGGGTGCACCATCTGCTGTTTCCTGAAGTCCACGATCATCTCCTTTGTTTTGTTGATATTGGATGAGAGGTTATTTTCCTGGCACCACACTCCCAGAGCTGATGGTTCTATTATATTGGGTGATTTGAGTAGTTGTATGACAGGCTGTCCTTCTGATCTTGGTTAATAACCAGAGATTAAATGGACTCTGGCATGAACACAAGGTAGTTAAAGTGCATATTCTCAATTGATTTAATGTATTGGACAATGTTTACAAGTCACACTGACAGATGATATGAGAATAGTATTTGGCATGTTCTCATCCAGTATGCCAAGATCACTCTTATCTGCCAAAGTGATCTTGGATATGACCATGGTTCTATATCAGACAGGGAGGATGGCTTATACTTCAGCAGCTTCAAAAAACATTCTGACAGTAGGGCATCATCATGTCTTCCTGTGTGATTTCCCCACTGGATCAGTTATGACAACTATTCCCCAAGCAGCCAAACCTGAAACAAAAATATTGAGTTATGACTGCACCTCCAACACAAAGGCCATGTTCTTAAGCTTAATACTCTGTCATCATGTCTCGAGCTCTGAAAGGTAACGTTAGCCATGCTTCACCTGTGCAGTTGTGGTGGATCAGTTATTACTACTAAAAGACAGGAAAGACGAATACGTTTAGAAATACTGACAGTTACAAATATCAGTACTCACTTGCTGCAAACGCGATTTGTGCGACATTTCCCATAGAGGTTGTCCCACCTTGGCGCATCACCTTTTGGGCGGCTAGGAACACATATCCAGCTCCTAACAGCAAACCTCCACCCTAGAGTATCCGACAACTCCAGCAGCTCCAAAACATTTGACCCGCAGCCGGTGATACTGGGTGACCCGCAGCCGGTGATACTGGGCCCGGTGGTGCGGGAGTGGGTACTGGCTCTGGTGTTGACATTGCCAAAGTCTATGGACGTAACGATATTTTTTTTACATTTTAGTCGACGCTCTTATCCAGAGCGACTTACAGAAGCAATTAGGGTTAAGTGCCTTGCTCAAGGGCACATCGACAGATTTTTCACCTAGTCGGCTCGGGGATTAGAACCAGCGACCTTTCGGTTACTGGCACAACGCTCTTACCCACTAAGCTACCTGCCGCCCCATGCTAGCTAGCTTTATGATTACTACCAAGCAGCTAACTTGACAAATAACTATATTTGCTCTTTCCTAAAACGTACATTATACCTGCGACAGTTATAACTTAGATCCCATTATTCTAATGTGTTGTGCTTAAAAATTCAAGTAGCTCTGACAGCAACCTCTTGGTTTCCACTAGATTGCACAGCCACAAAGTCAAAATTGTTTATATCCTAAAAACGTATGTGTTATAATGTTAATTTTTTTAATAGGCAGGGTTTATGACGACCCAACCTCTTTGACACAAATATATAATTTTCTCAAACCGGAAATTGGTGCAACCGATAAAAGGGTCCCCATTCTTCTTCAGGTTTTATGGCGAACTACATGCAAAAATGTGTATTGTTGCCACCAACTGGACGGGGGTGAAACATTTTACAAAGGAAAAGTACATTCCCCTAGGGGGAAGATAAAATGTACATTAATCCACACAAACTACAAAATAATTTACAAATAAATAAATAATATAAACTCAGCAAAAAAAGAAACGTCCTCTCACTGTCAACTGTGTTTATTTTCAGCAAACTTAACATGTGTAAATATTTGTATGAACATAACAAGATTTAACAACTGAGACATAAACTGAACAAGTTCCACAGACATGTGACTAACAGAAATTGAATAATGGGTCAAAATCAAAAGTAACATTCAGTATCTGGTGTGGCCACCAGCTGCATAGATTTGCCAGTTCTTGCTGTGATATGTTACCCCACTCTTCCACCAAGGCACCTGCAAGTTCCTGGACATTTCTGGGGGGAATGGCCCTAGCTCTCACCAACCGATCCAACAGGTCCCAGACGAGCTTAATGGGATTGAGATCCGGGCTCTTCGCTGGCCATGGCAGAACACTGACATTCCTGTCTTGCAGAAAATCACGCACAGAACGACCAGTATGGCTGGTGGCATTGTCATGCTGGAGGGTCATGTCAGGATGAGCCTGCAGGAAGGGTACCACATGAGGGAGGAGGATGTCTTCCCTGTAACGCACAGCGTTGAGATTGCCTGCAATGACAACAAGCTCAGTCTTTGATGCTGTGACACACCGCCCCAGACCATGACGGATCCTCCACCTCCAAATCGATCCCGCTCCAGAGTACAGACCTCGGTGTAACGCTCATTCCTTCGATGATAAACGCGAATCCGACCATCACCCCTGGTGAGACAAAACCACGACTCGTCAGTGAAGAGCACTTTTTGCCAGTCCTGTCTGGTCCAGTGACGGTGGGTTTGTGCCCATAGGCGACGTTGTTGCTGGTGATGTCTGGTGAGGACCTGCCTTACAACAGGCCTACAAGCCATCAGTCCAGCCTCTCTCAGCCTATTGCGGACAGTCTGAGCACTGATGGAGGGATTGTGCGTTCCTGGTGTAACTCGGGCAGTTGTTGTTGCCATCCTGTACCTGCCCCGCAGGTGTGATGTTCGGATGTACCGATCCTTTGCAGGTGTTGTTACACGTGGTCTGCCACTGCGAGGACGATCAGCTGTCCATCCTGTCTCCCTGTAGCGCTGTCTTAGGCGTCTCACAGTACGGACATTGCAATTTATTGCCCTGGCCACATCTGCAGTCCTCATGCCTCCTTGCAGCATGCCTAAGGCACATTCACGCAGATGAGCAGGGACCCTGGGCATCTTTCTTTTGGTGTTTTTCAGAGTCAGTAGAAAGGCCTCTTTTAGTGTCCTAAGTTTTCATAACTGTGACCTTAATTGCCTACCGTCTGTAAGCTGTTAGTGTCTTAACGACCGTTCCACAGGTGCATGCTCATTAATTGTTTATGGTTCATTGAACAAGCATGGGAAACAGTGTTTAAACCCTTTACAATGAAGATCTGGGAAGTTATTTGGATTTTTACAAATTATCCTGAAAAGGGGACGTTTCTTTTTTTTGCTGAGTTTATATATTCCTGCTCCTTCAGTCATTCAAAACCTCAAATTCCCTTCTCAGGCTCTGGGTCTTTCTTGACTTTTTTTCAACTTGCGCAGTGATGTTTACCACCATTGCTATAAAAACGACATTAAGAATTTCTGGGTCCTGTTGATATGCAGGCTGCGGTGTTTGTTGCAGTAATTCTACCATATTTGCACTACCATTGGACCTTCAAACCTTTTTACCCTTTTGACAGCCTCCACATAGGATACAGACTGAGCTGCCATGATTTTGGCAACCTCAATCACTTTCACCCTAATTGGGCTTTCCAAGGCTTCTTTTGGACAAAAGTCCATTCATCCTTATTTCCACCGCCATCAGATTTAAGCTCCATATCCGCTTCCACCATCGTGTCATCAAATGGTCTCCATGTTCACCACTTGTCCACTTCAAGTGATCAGAATTTAGGAATTCCAATGCAGCAGTTTTTTTATCTCAATATCAAATAGTTTCTGGGTAACAATTAAGTAACTTACTGTGATTGTTTTCAATTAAAATTGTAAAAAAAATAAACAAAAATTAATTCTTAGCAAAGGGCATTTCTCAAGCAAAAATGTTGCTAGGACTGTCTTGGAGTGGTCTGAGTGGGGAGGGGAAAATGGAAAATGTGGCAGAGAGGTTTGAAACTCTTTCTTATTGGTCTATTAACAAATGTATCGCATGGTGATGTCACCATGGAAGGCCAAAACCACATCCCACCAAAACAGGCTGAAATTTCAGGCAGTCTTTTCAAACAGCTCTTACACTAAAAGGGCATTATCATAATTTTCTACATTTCACAGTATTATTCCAACCTCAATAGTCTGGAAATATATATAAAACACAGAAAAATCACATTTATAATAATATGCCATTTAGCAGACGCTTTTATCCAAAGCGACTTACAGTCATGTGTGCATACATTTTCACGTATGGGTGGTCCCGGGGATCGAACCCACTACCTTGGCGTTACAAGCGCCATGCTCTACCAATTGAGCTACAGAGGACCACTATTTCACACATTTCTGACTGCACTGGGCCTTTAACATGTAAGCTTGATCATCATTTGAAAACGTTCCTCTATCCATGCAGTCTAATTACTATAAAAAGATACAATATAAACAATACAAACTAGTCAGGATTGTGTTTTACATTTTATTAACCATACAGTGTTGTAACCATATGCGCTTCAGATATTCAAAGTTTTGGCTGAATTATATACACAACATTCGTATAATAAATATGCAATGTTCCATTGTAACATAGCGTGTGTTCAAGTCATTGTGAGGTTTGGGGACCATTGTTTCTTATTCTCTCCACAATGTCTTATTCGGTGAAACAAAGCACTTCCGCCCCTTAACATTCATGCTTTAAGTACAAACATTTAGCGAACATAATCTTAACAGGATTAACGCTCAAGACTATAATCTGGCATGGGGAGGATTTTCCTAGTCACTGGTGCCAGTCTCCCGGTGTGTCATCTGTCATTTTCCCTTCACTTTGACTTGCAAATCAATTTGAAGACAGCATGTTGAGCATTACCATTTCTTGGATCTAGGGCCCAATCCTCTGGCAATGTTGTCGTTGGTCTCTGCAGCTTCCTTCAGCACCTGCATCATGAGGCCGTTCCTCTTCCTTGACTCTTCCATTCTCAGCTTCGAGTAAATTCTGATGGTCAAAAAATAAATGAAAAATTGCAGGTGAATGTAAAGCTGCATGGGTTAGTTGTCACAGATAATGCAACAAATATTATTTAATGGAAGCGGACACCAAAACAAAGCAGGGTATAAGGTTCTTGAAGACTGTCAACTATGCTGCTGCTGGATTTTATTATTTCCCTTTTTGATCAGTTGGCTGACAGATTTACACATCACATCATGTCTCGTAGTTACCCCATCATAGACGCTAACTACCTTTAGCGCCTATTGACGATAGTATCTTCTGTCCGGAGGGAGTTTTGTTAAGAGCCCCGACGCTTGCTCTAAACGTTAACACGCAGCGCTTGCGGTGTGGTTTTGGAAACATAAGGAAGGCATCTTTCATATCAGTGAAAAAATTAATAAAAAAAGATTACATTACTGCACAGCTTTTATAGGGTTAGGGTTCCCACACGGCCATATTTGCATTTTACAGCGCTTGTTTACAGAGAACAGACGGAAGACCGTTGACTACCTATGCTAATTAGCTATCTGCATCTCTAAATACCTGTGTGTAAACAGAAGACAGATGTGTTGTCACTGAAAAATACTGTCGGCTACAACTGTGTTAAAACAGTGTACAGTAAGTGTATATTTTGCCTTTGTGAAATAATTTTGGTGTGATATTTAAGTAGAGGGCTTTAAGTTTTTAGAAACGTACCACAATTGAGAATCGATTGACGTTTAGATGGAGTATATGGCTGTTTTGGCAGCGAGAGCAAATTCGCCTCTAAACAGAACATGTAAGGTCCTTGGACTATAAGGAGTAACGTTAGGCTCCTTTCAGTACATTATTGGGCTAGTCTCATAGTGTAAATCAGACCAAGGAGGCCTTTTCAGCAGGAGGCACATTCAGATTGTTGCAGATAGCAATGTAATTTAGACTGGACATGATTCCATGTTCCAATCCACATGATACATTTCTATCTGCACTTTCTATAATGTCTCTGGTGAGTGACATACTATACCATTCTATGCCCGCCTTGTGAATTAAGCAACAGTAGTAAGATACCCTACCTACTCCTGGACAAAGAGGCAAAGAGACAACCATACCCATGTCTAATAGGTTTTTGCACAAACAAATATAATGCCCAAATCATAAACATATGATTAAAAAGGACACGTAGTCCTTTGATCGGTTTAAAAAGTCAGTATTGTGTGGAAGTTAAGTATTTGATCGCAGCTTAACTTAAGCATTTACCTCTTCCTTTCTTCTCCTAGTTGAATCACTGACCACATTCCATATCCAATACCTACCACACCGACAAGCCCAGTAGAGATCAGGATAGTGCGTAGACCGCTCATTACGTTAAGTTAGTTGGTGTCCTCCTATAGACTGATTTAAGAGTATTTTCTCGATTATCAATCCACTGTTTTGTTTTGGTTGTGACTGTAAGCTAGTAAATTCATTCAGCGCTGCCCAATGTCCGCTTATGGGGCATTCTGTCTTCTTCAATGAGGTTTAACGGCAGTTGGCATCCAATAAATGTTGCATTACCGCCACTAACTAGTCTGGAATATAACTCCCTTATACTTTGCTTGAAAAAAATAATAACATAAAGAAATCAACAAATACCCTATCATCTAACCCTACACTCATTAAAAACCCACCACCCTACTCCACTAAATGTATCTAGTCGTACCTCAGGCCAACAGCCTGAAAGGACGGGACACCACCACTCAACACACCCTGTAACTCCTCTGACGTAAAATCTCGTACACCCAAGTACTTCTCTGCAGCTGCCACCACAACCTAAATTTTCTGTGACTTACTTTCCATCCTTGCAGTACAGTTGATAACCATTGCTATAAACGCTAAAAATCCAATCTTACTGAAGCATACTGTATATCACTTGTAGCCTATCCCTCCGTACTGGTACAGATCTTCTACTCACACCACTCCCCTCAGGATCCCCCCCCCCCCCCCCCCCCCCCTTGAACCATCTTCCTCTACTTTCTTCACTGCCTCAGCATTACAACTTCTGCACTACTCTAACCCTGGTAACCTCAACCTGCCTCTCTCACCGGACATTTCTGATCCCCAGCCCCATGGGCACCCTTACAATTAACACATAGCGTTTCTTTCCCCAATGCTACACATACCTTTGTCTCATGCCCTTATGCACACTTCTCACACCTAGGAACTTCCCTCCTACACAATGCTGCCACATGCCCATAAGTTTGACACCTGTAACAATGGAATGTATTCGGTACAAAAACTTGTACGGGATAACTGATATATCCTAACATCACTTTGTCAGGCAAAGACAACATCAAAACTCAAAAGAACAGACAGCAACTCTGTTTCTCCACTCACACCACCCTGTCTGCGTCACACCAAACGACGAGCATCACAAACAATGGGAATCTTCCCCTTCAGTTGATCCACTTTCACATTTTCCAGCGCTACCCCAGTAATCACTCCTTTCAATAGCTCTCTTTTCTTGAGAGCAAAACAATTCACATCTCTTGTCCCCAGTCGTTTGACGCAGAGCGCCTGCTCCCGCTGACCAACAGAAACACAAACAATTATTACAAGACCACTTCGGGTTACCTTCACCTATTCCACAGCCCCTAACTCCATTTTCACCCACCCTGAAACCACTTTTTTTTTTTTTTTTGGTAACATTTTATTGACACAATTTCATTTGAACAGCTCATATTTCTTACATCAGCATTTGTACACTTAATATGCATTAAAAACAGCATTGAATATTACTTTTACCAGTTTAAAAGTATGTGTTGTTTATTAAAACAATAAAAACAACCTAAGACAAAAGTACTTATTTAGAAAATATCCAATCTGTAAAAGCCATATGCACATATGATTAAAACAAGAGTAAACATTTTTAAGACATGAAATCATGTTAGAAAGTAACTTTGTTAAAAAAGCTGTCTTCGGTCCTTTGTGCAGGAACGGGGTGAGTCCTTATCAAACTCGCCTCCTCCTGCTCTTCTGAATCAACTCTGTTCCCATCCGTCGGGGCCCAGAGGAGATCCCTCCCCTTGGCATATCGCCCTAGGCGCAACAGCCTCTGTCAGGCCGTAGCCGCCGGGACCTTAGATGTTGTGGGTGACCCTTCGTTTGGGGTCGAGGTCCCCTTTTGTCCATACCACCCCTGGGCTTCCGTGGCTATTAAAGCCACTGCCTGGGGCGTCTCCACTCATTTCCCTACCAGAAGGTTGCGGGAGGACCACAGTGCATCCTTCAGACATGTGAGCGTGAGCCAGAGCTTGGTGAAGGCCTTCGGCCCACCCCATACAGCACGAGCTGAGGTGTTGGGTCCTCCCCTGCTGGCAGACACTGGGAGATCAGGGGGCCTGCTTCCTTCCACAGGTCCCTGGCGGCTCTGCACTCCCAAAGCAAGTGCCTCACCGACTCGTCCTGGCCATAGCCTGGTCAGGGGCACGCAGATGGCCTCACCATGCCCCGGGAGTGCATAACAGCCCTGACCGGGAGGATCTCATGGGCGACCATCCAGGACAGGTCCCGGTGCTGATTCAGCAGAGCAGGATGGGCCACGTTGCGCCAAACCGTTGTGGGCTCACCTATAGCAAGCCCGTGCACTGGACACACCGGTTCCCGTTCCTGCACAAGAGAGAGAAGAGAGCGGTGTTTAGTTAAAACCATTCTTCCAGTTGAAAATATCTTAATTTATGAGCTGGGCATAGTGTGTGGGGAGCTGGAAAGAGACTGGGGTTCGCAGGTCGACTCGGATCAGCTTCAGGGTCCTGAGGTAGGACCCCAGCCAGAACCTTGTGAGGGCCTGGGTCTTGTTGTTGACCGGGGAGGTGGCAAGAGTGAGGTGTAACGCTGTGTAATGGCTGCCCAGGAAGAAGTAGAGGTCAGGCAAGCCTTCCCCCCCTTGAACCTGGGCCTCTTCACCACCTCCCTACTCAGTCTCTCCCTCTTGCTTCCCCACAGGAAGTAAAACACCATCCGGTCCAGGGCTAAAAGCGTAGCTCGTGGTGGGATAAAAACAGAACTGATTAATAAAAGCACAGGTAAAATCACAGCCTTAATGATTAAAACCTTACCCTTAAAAGTCAGCTGTCGAAGTCCCCAAAAGCCTAGTCTCTGTTTCACTGTCCCTAAAATCAAATCTAATCTAATCAATTTTTATTTGCCACATGCTCCGAATATAACAGGTGTAGATATTACAGTGAAATGCTTACTTACATGCCCTTAACCAACAATGCAGTTTAAAAAAAGAGAAAAAATAAGAAAAAGTGTTAAGTAAAACAATAAAGCAAATAACTAAAGAGCAGCAGTAAAATAAAATAACAGTAGGGAGGCTATAGTAGCACCGGCTAGTCCAGGTAATTAAGGTAATATGTACATGTGGGTAGAGTTAAAGTGACTATGCATAAATAATAAACAGAGTAGCAGCAGCGTAAAAAAGGGGGATGGTGTGGGGTGGGGGGGCAGTGCAAATAGTCCGGGTAGCCATGATTAGCTGTTCAGGAGTCTTATGGCTTGGGGGTAGAAGCTGTTGAGAAGTCTTTTGGACCTAGACTTGGCGCTCTGGTACCGCTTGCCGTGCGGTAGCAGAGAGAACAGTCTATGACTAGGGTGGCTGGAGTCTCTGAATTTTTAGGGCCTTCCTCTGACACCGCCTGGTATAGAGGACCTGGAGGGCCGTACGAACTACCCTCTGTAGTGCCTTGCGGTCAGAGGCCGAGCAGTTGCCATACCAGGCGGGGATCCAACCAGTCAGGATGCTCTCGATGGTGCAGCTGTATAACTTTTTGAGGATCTGAGGACCCATGCCAAATCTTTTCAGTCTCCTGAGGGGGAATAGGCTTTGTCGTGCCCTCTTCATGACTGGCTTGGTGTGTTTGGACCATGATAGTTTGTTGGTGATGTGGACACCAAGGAACTTGAAGCTCTCAACCTGTTCCACTACAGCCCCGTCGATGAGAATGGGGGCATGCTCAGTCCTCTTTTTTTTCCTGTAGTCCACAATAATCTCCTTTGTCTTGATCACGTTAAGGGAGAGGTTGTTATCCTGGCACCACACGGCCAGGTCTCTGACCTCCTCCCTATAGGCTGTCTCATCGTTGTCGGTGATCAGGCCTACCACTGTTGTGTCGTCGGCAAACTTAATGATGGTGTTGGAGTCGTGCCTGGCCATGCAGTCATGGGTGAACAGGGAGTACAGAAGGGGACTGAGCACGCACCCCTGAGGGGCCCCCGTGTTGAGGATCAGCGTGGCAGATCTGTTGTTACCTACCCTTACCACCTGGGGGCGGCCCATCAGGAAGTCCAGGATCCAGTTACAGAGGGAGGTGTTTAGTCCCAGGGTCCTTAGCTTAGTGATGAGCTTTGAGGGCACTATGGTGTTGGACGCTGAACTGTAGTCAATGAATAGCATTTTCACGTAGGTGTTCCTCTTGTCCAGGTGGGAAAGGGCAGTGTGGAGTGCTATAAAGATTACATCATCTGTGGATCTGTTGGGGCGGTATGCAAATTGGAGTGGGTCTAGGGTTTCTGGGATAATGGTGTTGATGTGAGCCATGACCAGCCTTTAAAAGCACTTCATGGCTACAGACGTGAGTGCTACTGGTCGGTAGTCATTTAGGCAGGTTATCTTAGTGTCCTTGGGCACATGGACCATGGTGGTCTGCTTAAAACATGTTGGTATTACAGACTCAGTCAGGGATATGTTGAAAATGTCAGTGAAGACACTTGCCAGTTGGTCAGCGCATGCTCGGAGTACACGTCTTGGTAATCCGTCTGGCCCTGCGGCCTTGTCAATGTTGACATGCTTAAAAGTCTTACTCACATCGGCTACGGAGAGCGTGATCACATAGTCATCCGGAACAGCTGGTGCTCTCATGCATGCTTCAGTGTTGCTTGCCTCGAAGCGAGCATAGAAGTGATTTAGCTCGTCTGGTAGGCTTGTGTCACTGGGCAGCTCGCGGCTGTGCTTCCCTTTGTAGTCTGTAATAGTTTTCAAGCCCTGCCACATCCGACAAGCATCAGAGCCGGTGTAGTACGATTCAATCTTAGTCCTGTATTGACTCTTTGCCTGTTTGATGGTTCGTCGGAGGGCATAGCGGGATTTCTTATAAGCGTCCGGGTTAGAGTCCCGCTCCTTGAAAGCGGCAGCTCTACCCTTTAGCTCAGTGCGGATGTTGCCTGTAATCCATGGCTTCTGGTTGGGGTATGTACGTACGGTCACTGAGGGGACGACGTCATCGATGCACTTATTGATGAAGCCAGTGACTAATGTGGTGTACTCCTCAATGCTATCGGAAGAATCCCGTAATATATTCCAGTCTGTGCTAACAAAACAGTCCTG